CTTATTTTTAAAGGGTCTATTAAACAATATAAACATTTATTATTCCATAGTGATTGGTTGCATACTGAATTGTCAGCAGAAAAAGAAAATAAAAAAAAAAAAGGATAAAAGAGGATTCAAAATGAGCAAATTGAAGAGAAATTTTTAAAATTCTACATCTATAAATAAACATTCAATCACATTATCATTCACACATTCTATTATATATAATATATGCGTCACAATCCATGTTAGCGTTAAAGATGCTCTTATAATAATTTTTTCTATAAGTCTTACCAAATTCTACATTTTTAGCATTTTTGTAAACTTATAATATGAAAAAAAAAATTATGAAAGCATTGCAAACATGATATGAAATGGCATGCAAATCTATAACATACAAAATGAAAGAGCGATTAACGGTGGATATACAAAATGAGATTTTAATATTTAAAAATATTTTTAAATGTATATAAATATATATCCAATGATTTCATTAATTATTAATTACCATTAAAAGAGGGGATCATGACAACTCACCACCAACATCAAACATGCAAGTGGGTAATCATTAATGATGTAAATTAAATTCTTAGTATTATCTTATCACACATATATTATTAGACTATATGCTGAGGGTGCACGTAATCTCGTATTAAACCATTATCAGGATTTATGAATTTTTTAAATTAAAATAATATTATTTGGTTTTATTTTTTTAAGCAGTTTACATATAATATATCAAATACAGATAATAAAATATAATTCAAACTCTAAATTAATATTTCCTTAATTTGACTTGTATATAGATTAAGAAAATTTCAGTAATATAATTAAACTATAATTTTCGCTTCATTTTTTTCTAGTATATACCCTTATTAATATTCATAAATATTAAATGATCCATATTAAATTTTTCTTGAAATATTTGATTAAATGAAAGTTAAAGATTAATTGATATGTTAATTTCGTTTATATAAAGATATAATTAATGATAATATAATAATTTGACTATTATATTTATTGACAAAAAAGCATATTAAGTAAAGGTAAAATAATAAATTTTAAAATATCATTTATTTCTAAAAAAGAAAATAGAATAATAATTTGTGACGAATGCAAAAGAAAAATAAGATAAAATGTATTGGTACATGAAAGTGATCTTTTTTTTCTATTGTATGTGCTATGGTTGGTAGCTTTGGCTTTCTTTGGAAAATCAACGATCCATCCAAAAACAGGCAGAGAAATTAGATTTGATGTCTCCACTATCCAGGTAGTCCGAAGGTGAAACTATTCACCCTCCAATAATGATCTTGTGGAATATTGAAAATGTATTTTCCATGGAAATTATGCTCCCTTTAAATAAATAATTTTATATAACCAATTGTATTCTGCCACATCAGCTTTTATTAGCAAAATTTTATACATTTTCAGTAAGGAAAATATAGAGCCAGAATGTTAAGTTATGAGTTGTAATATCAAATTTGTGACGAATAATAATTAAAAACTAATAATTTGTGACGAATGTAAAAAAAAAAAAAAAAGATAAAATGTATGAGAAGGAGAGAGTATATATTAATTCAAAAAATAAATTAATAATTTTGGTTTGTTGGACGTCTTTTTTATCTTTCGAAACTTCTATTTCATGAATTTTGAAATATTAAAAAGAGAAGCGACTAATTACGACTAATAAATAAAGAATGATGAATGAAACTAAAGTTATATTTGCAATAATCATATAACGAGCGACATTTGATCTTTTTATTAATAAACATAGATTCATATGTATTTTTAAGTTTTAATTTACATGTATAGATAAATACCATTTATAGTTTGATTTAATTACTCAAAATCAAAATTGAGGTTGAATTGTAAACTTTTTTTTTTTTAACTTATAAATTAAATATCTTTTTTCAATAACCAAATTGTGGTCTAGTGTCTTTTATTTGATTAGTTTGATTCTACGGTTTACACTGAAAAATAAACTTTATTACATGATATTGGAATTTCATATTCATAATTAAAAATTCATGAATGAATGCTTACTTTAATTAATTAGCATAAAAATATGTATTATATTTTCAGTTTTTTTTTTCTGACTTAAGTGATTTATGCTCAAGATTAAACAATTCTGATATTTGATTTCATTTTTATTCAATATTTGTATGATATACATTAGTCAAAAAAAATATTTTTATGATATATGAAAAATTAAATAAAATAAAATTTGAATTTTAAATTACAAACAAATACTTATAAACTAATACTTCGTTTAGACTTTTCCATTGAAGTTATATATTTTAATTATTTAACACTTGCCACTGCCGTGCATATTGCACCATAGTGCGCAGACTGCGGATCGCAGCGCCTTGTTTGTTGTACCGCTCGCTCTTGACGGTCTCAACAGAAATACCTAACTTTACGCCACCAGATGAAGAGGGCCACCGGCTCCAGCGTACAAGAATTCTTCGGGCACGCAATTGTCAACATCACATGGTCATGTCTGGTTAACGCCGACTACAGTAGCTATTGATAATTATAGTGATTATAATATAGTTTAGAATTTTGGAACATATTAATTTCAATAAATATTTATATTAATTACACTTAGGTATCTTATATTAATATATTAATATAGTAAATTAATATTAGATTCCTTATATCAATATATTTGGAATAACTTTTCATTTTATTTTTATTCAATAAATGTAATTATCTTTACCGAACTTTTCTTATATAAAAATTAATTTTTTAAAATTATTAAGTATTAACAATAAATTAAATTGAATTCTTATATCTTTACCATATTTAACAATGTAATTTTTTATTTTATTAAATTAAATTTAAAATTTATATTCTTACTATATTTAATATTCATATTTAATATATTATATATAATTTTTTATTTTATCAAGATTGAATTCTTTTATTCTTACTATATTTAATATATACACTTATCTAGTATATAATATAATTTTTTATTTTATTCAGTAGAATTTTTGATTTTAATAAGAAATTGATATAACTAATTAAAATTAAATTATCTTTATTATTTCAAGTAATAAAATTAAAATTCTTAAACATATCGTATTCTTAGCATATTTAATATGTACCTTTATTTGTTTCTCAACCAATAAAATTAAAATTTTTTAAAAAATATTATGTTCTTATCATATTTAATACATACCTTTATTTGTTTCTCAACCATTAAAAATAAAATCTTCAAAAAAAATATTATATTCTTATATATTTAATATATACCTTATTTAGAATATAATAAAATTTTTTATTTTATCCAATAGAATTTAAATTTAAATTTGAAATTAATATAACCAATCAAAATTAAGTTACTTTTATTTTTAACCAATAAAATTAAAATTCTTTAAATATTTTTATCAATACATAACTCATTTTTGAAATCCAAATGTTCCATTTTCCGTTCTCACGAAATAGTAAACTCTAATTATTATTCATTTCAAAAAAAAAAAAAAGATACAGACAATAATTTGGGACAAATAAAAAAAAAAAGGACAAAAATTATGGGACGCAAGGAGTAATGAGTAATCTTTATTTGATGTCCCCAAAGGGATATGGAAGGAGTAATCTTTAATTGCGCAAGAGCGATTTCAAGTTTCAACTAAAGATAAAGGCCTGATTGTTAAAATTCATGTGGTACAAATTATACTATTTTAAAAATAAATTTTATAAGAAAAAATTATAATTTAATTTGTGCCTATATTTTATCAAAATTAATTATCTTGTTTTTTTATTTTTTAAAATACATTATTTTGTTTCTATAATTTAATACCATTAAATAATATTGTCATTCTGTCCAATTTTTTCAATTCCACGGTACAAGTCAAAGGAAAAATAAACAATAATATAAGAGGATAAGTATTTTGCTTGCCCAAAATGCTCAAACAACTCTGCAAAATCACAGCAGAACAAGGTAACTATGAAATTGAAAAATTTATCGTTTTGTAAGCCAAATGGAAGAATTTTATGGAATATTTGCTTTATTAAGCTCATTGATGTCGTTTTGCTGGCCATGTACATGCATATTAGCGTTTTGTAAGCCCTTTTCTACCTCTGTCTAACTTTTTTTTTTTTTTTTCTTAGTAAGAAAAAGAAGGAAAATAATTTTTTTTGATGCAGAGAATAAAGTAAAGATTAATGAGAAATTAATTGGGTCAATAGATTAAAGGTATTGAAAAAGAGCTTCAACGTATCTAAGTGCAGAAAGAAACATCAAAAGTTTAATTTTTTTAATGGTTTTGCTGTGAAGTGATTAAATATTGTGAGCACACTATGATTTTGATGATTATTTTTATTGTAAAATATTGCTCATGGAGAAAATATAGTCTTAATCACCGTGCTTCTATTTTATCTAATATACTCTTTTTTTTTTCTCAAAATATAAATCGTTTAAAATTTTTACACAAAGATTAAGAAAGTGATTAATTGGACGATTACAAACTCAAGAGTAAAATTATCTTTTATTTCAATCAATAGTTACTTGTGAAAATATTTATTATATCTAATATAAATAATGATAAAATAAAAAAAATATCATTTATTACTCCTTATAACACTTCAAATGACTTTACATTTTGAATAAAATAATTATTTAAAAATGAATTATATTTTGACAAAGAGACGGTATTACTTTTTACCCATATTTTGATGCTGTTTGACTTTATTGTCCCTCCGCCAAATATTTTGGATATCAAACGGTAAAAACCTGATGAAATCTAACAACAAGCAGCGTAAGGCTTCTAGAATACCTTTGTTTTATTTCAGTTTAACAAAATCTATCTGTATCAAATAATTCTCAAAACCTATAAAAAATTTACCTCTTTGATGTCATGCAGACCCAACTTTGCTTGTCTCAAAATATAATTAAGAGAAAATAGATTCCTCGTTAATTATGAATATCAAATTTAATTAATTTGCTAATTTCACAACATCAATCCAAATCAACGTCTCTTGATAATTCCTATAAAGAACACGTCGAGCCAAACAGCTCCTTAATATGCTACAAAACACCACGTCCAGTCATCGTTGCCGGCGTATTTAATACAAACAAAAACATTCGCTTCAGTCCTCTCTCTCTTTCTCTCTCGCTGTATTTATCTGTACACAGACTTCTTTTCCTTATCAACCGATCCTATTGATTCTTTTTCTTTTTTGAGCTGGTGAAATAATGGCTGGAAGCCAGGACGCGAAGAAGGAAGTGGTGGTGTTCGATGCGGAAGCAGCGAGGGACTTAGTCAAAGAGCTTACCGGCAATTTCGCTTCTGGTAAGACTCGGAGCTATGAGTGGAGGGTCGCTCAGTTGAAAAATATGCTCAAGTTGTGCGATGAAAACGAGAAAGAGATCGTCGAAGCTCTTAGACTGGATCTTTCCAAGCCTGAACTCGAGTCAACTATCTATGAGGTCAGTATAAGGATATCCGTTTCTTCTTCTTCTTTGGATGTTTTTGAAATTTAAGTTGAAGTTCTACCGGTGGGTGGATATGAAAGTGAAATATGACTTGTAACGAACACTGCAGAGTGAATATAATTTGACTTTTTTTTTTTTTTTCCATTTTTGTTTAATTTGGGTGAAATTGAGGTGTGTTTGATGACTTGAAATCGACTGCAGAAGGAGGATAATGAATTTTCAAGCACCTGGTATTGGATTGATTTCCAATTTTGATGTTACTGCAGTCTGCAATTTCTTTACATTCTCTTGGTTTTGATTTAATGCGTCTACTTTTTGATTGCATAACATTTTGGTCCCATTTTTTGTCGCACTTTAATGTGAATACCAATGTCTCTGACTTAAAAATTTGGGTTCCGTGTACTATGGGTCAGGTCTAATATTTCTGCAAACTGTTGGGAGCAGCATTAATGGCATTTATTAAGTTAGCATCTGGATAAATATGCTTTCTCCACTGAACGAACTCGTGTGGTCTAGTCAATATATAGTAAAACAACGAAAGAAATATCGATTTCTTTTCCGGCCATAAAGATTTTTGTTTTCCGAACTTTTTTTTTTCTTGGGCTAATGTGTTAATTTCTTTGAAACTCTGTTTTTCTGAAGATGGGAACCAGTGATACACAACTTAGGAGTTTATTAAAAATTATAAATAGTAGCAAATGCCATGCCCTTACTAATTTAGAATATTGAAACTGGTTTACAGATAATCAATGCATATTTTTTCGAAATGGGAGGTAAATAAATATAATGATGTATTGTAATGCTTGTTATTAGAATGGCTGGACGGTAAAAACCATTACCAAAGTCTGGAGTCTAGATATTTCAAATTGTATTATTGTGCAAAATCAAAGGATAATGTGGAATTGAAAATTGTGGAAAATTGTTTATTTCTGTGGATTGGTGAACAACTTTCTTTCAACAGCTATTTCACGTTTATTATGAACACAGAATCACTTGTTAACATTTGTTTGAAACTTCATTAGTTTTTAAAGTTTTTTCCCCTTAATTGTGGAGGATAGCTTTTGGGTTGCTTGAAAGTAGCTTTTCCTTAGATCGCTTAACATGCAATTTAACTCAGTTTCCATTAATTGATACAGTAGCAATCAGCTAAGAGTAAAGGTTGGTTCTAGGTTCCTTTGTTGCCAAATTAAAACACAAAAGCCACAGAACATTCTCAGCCGGAGAACGTACTGACATTCTTAACGTGATAATAGTAGGTGTTGCTAGCAGAGCCATTGAACCAGTAATAGTAGGTGTTGCTAGCATAGCCATTTTTACCTGGAGATACAGTTTGTGTTTTTCTGTTAGAGATCGTTACTAATTTTGCACTCCCTTTTTGTTCTGGTAAACTTAATTGGTACGATCCTGTGTTTGGGCGTGTGGTGTGCTAAAATCTGCGTGTGTACAGAATCGAAATATTGGAAGCAGCTATGAATTATAAAGTAGAGCTAACTTGCCTCGTGAAAGTTGCTGCGCATTATAAGTGATATGTGATATACTTATAACTTTATTCATCAAGTTAATGGGAACAACTTCTGTTGTGCAGATAGCTTTGCTCAAGAACTCATGCAAACTGGCACTTAAGGAACTGAAACATTGGATTAAGCCCGAAAAGGTAGAGATTTTCCCCATTCCCTCTTGCCCCATCTCTTTAAAGAACTTCGCCACTAGTTTTACTTGCTCTACATTATTGTTTTTATGGTCATTGGCTTGATTTCAATCAAAATATCATTTTATTGTAGGTGAGGACCTCATTGACTACTTTTCCTTCATCAGCTGAAATAGTATCAGAACCATTGGGTGTTGTATTGATAATTTCAGCATGGAATTACCCTTTTTGTACGTTTTTGTTGCAATTCGATGTGTTATTTCCCCCTATCTTATGTTTTCTGTTAAAATTTATAATATTGAAATCAAATTCTCCTGTCTCTTCTCTAGTGTTGTCTCTTGATCCAGTCATTGGAGCTATCGCAGCTGGCAATGCAGTGGTCTTAAAACCCTCAGAAGTCTCTCCAGCCTCATCTTCATTGCTTCTAAAACTAGCCACAAAATATTTGGATAGCTCTTCCATAAGGGTTATTGAAGGGGCCGTAGCTGAAACAACTGCCCTGCTGGAGCAAAAGTGGGACAAAATATTATACACAGGTCAATTCATTTATTTCTCTTCCCTTTTCTTTGACAGTCAATGGTAGATTTCTATAGTGCAAATTATATACTGCTCTTCTAAAATGATGCAGGCAACACTTGTTAAATGTCAAGCAAGGGGTAAATGGATTTTTCAGTCTTGATAAATATTTGAAAAATTTCCAGTTATCCATTTAGTTTGAAGTACTACAGACATCTAGCGCTTTAGTTTTGCAATAATGATATTTGAATTGAGTGAAGATCTCATAAAAAAAAAAAAATCAAAACTTACATGAGATTGTCGATAATCAGATGGAAGTCTAGCAGGTTAACATTGGTGAAGATTGAATAAGAAATCAGGCATAGCAGGAGAAGGTTGGCAAACGAAAAGTTAAATTAGAAAAAGAAGAGAAAAACAAACACAAGTATTGTATACGGTTTGCAAGTTTCACTTACATCCATGACTGCATCTATTTTTTCAATATTACAAAGAAGAGTAATACATCCCTATTTATGGACATCAAGATCCAAAATACTTGTACAAATAGGAAATACATACTTACATCCCAGTAGGTGCTGCCCCTGCATCCCAGATACCATTCTGGCGGGCTTAGTGTCCCACGTCCCTCCCCTTCACTGAGTTCCTGTAGTAAAAAAAGTTACCTTCTTCTTGTAAGCATTTGTGCATGTCAATCTTCTTTACTGCCTCTCAAAGCAGGGAGTAATCGGAGGCTATATGAGAAGTTTTCTATGGCTTGTGGGCACTGGGGAGGAACGGGTTTTAATGTTGCATGATCAACTTAAGTTTCTGTAATTTATAGGTGAGGGTAGTTCGTTATTTAGATTGTTGCACTCAGACAGGCAGGATTTGGGTGGAAGTGATTTTGGAGACTAACAGATTGGGGCCTTAACATGAGGAAATTTATTAGGACTTAGGATTATCACTTCTTTTATTTTGTGCAAAGTGTCTTGCCTATGGCTCTGCTATTTGGTTATAGTATTGAAATCAGCTTCAATTATCTTTTGGTGTATTATATTGGAAAATACTAAATTTTCAGGACAACTTAAATGTTGTTTAAATATTTGATATTTTAAGTTATTTTGTTGAAGTAAACCTTGTAGCTAAGAGGAAAACTGAACTGATGCTTTAAAATTTGACCTTGAATGCTGTTCTTTTGTTTTTGCCCTAGGTTTAATAAGCCATTGTATAAATCAATAATTCATCCTTAAATTTGCAGGGAATGGAAGAGTGGGACGTTTTGTGATGGCTGCTGCTGCCAAGCACCTGACTCCTGTTCATTTGGAGCTTGGAGGAAAATGTCCAGTCATAGTTGATGAAGGCATCAATTTACAAGTTAAAATTCTTTTCTTGTGTGCGCTTGTGTATGCATTTGCTTTTCTGAACAAACTGCTTTTTTTTTTTTTTAATTACATTTTGTTAAATATGGTACCATAATTAAGTTTCATGTCCACTGACACATTTGTCTTCATCTCCAAGGTAACAACTAGGCGAATAATTGCAGGCAAGTGGGGTTGTAATAATGGACAAGCTTGTATTTCTCCTGATTACATGATTACAACGAAAGATTATGCTACGAAGCTGGTAATATTTAGTGTCATTTGAATTTCTGTTCTTATTCTTTTTCTTTTTTGAACTTCTATCTATCTATTTTTTTTCTTCATTCAGGTGGAGTCATTTAAAAAAGAACTAGAGAGGTTTTATGGAAAGAACCCATTGGAATCAAAAGACTTGTCCAGAATTGTGAATTTCAACCATTTTTCTCGTTTGACTAAGCTACTGGATGAGGATAAGGTTTCTGGTAAGATTGTCCATGGAGGTGAAAGAGACGAAGTAAACCTGTGAGTTCTGCTGAGTGTCTGCTCATTGTTTTCTTGGTTCATAGTTTGCTTAGGAGCAAAGAGCTTCTCACTTATAAATGCTTGTTCCTCTGAATGGCAGGAAAATTGCTCCCACTCTCTTGTTGGACGTCCCACAGAACTCTCTGATAATGAAGGAGGAAATATTTGGTCCTTTGCTTCCTATTGTCATGGTAAAAGCCAAGAAATACTGCCTTTTTTTTTAATCACAGAGGAAAAGTTATTTAAATCCATATTCCACTAGAATATTAGTGCGATGTGTTTCACATTTGGGGAAAAACCATGACCTATACATGCGAAATAGTACTTCTCACCACAATGGAAAAGCAGGATATTTGTTTTTGCCGGAAATGAGCTATATTAGGAAATCACACTCCATTTCAGTAATTTTCTTCTGCTTGGGCTTGTGAATGAAAACAGGGATTAATCATTGCAGTTTCTTGGAAGCGATGATTATCTAAATTATAAGAATCTTAAGTCTATTGTCTTTCACTTATTTTACATGAAATGGTTATTATTTAATTTATATATATTCATATTCTTTTCGGTTTGAAACAGGTTGACAAAATTGAAGAGAGTTTTGATTTGATAAACTCCGGAACAAAGCCACTTGCAGCTTATTTATTCACCAATAACAAAAAACTCAAGCAACAGTTTGTGATTTCTGTCTCTGCCGGGGGTGTAGTTGTCAATGACACTGCTGTCCATGTAATTATTATTTCTGGATCTTGTAGAAGATAGTTACATATATGTATATGCATGCATAATTTACATACCTACATATTCTTATGGCACCCAAGTACATCTCTATGATAACATAACCATTCAGTGCATCTGGCACACGAGTTGCAATGGCGCATATACCATTTTGCATATGTTTCTGAATATCATTAAGTGCTGTTTGAGTTATCATACATGCATTGAATGGCCATTCTCAGGTGTATCAGCTACATCTTTGATTTGGGGGGTCAATGGATTACCTGTACCAAATGTTGTTCTTAGTTTGGAAATTCTTTTGGCTAGATATTATTGTAATATCAGGAAGCAATCCATCATTGCATTTTACTTTGATGTCATGGTAATAAAACTTTGACTGGGCTCCTCACTCTTGAAACTAGCCAGTCAAAATAATGCAAGAGCACTAACTGGGGCAAGTGTACACCTTCTGCAAAGGGAAAGAATATACTATTGTATATCTCATCTTTAATTCTAACATAGTAGTCATTTGCAATGATAGTACTGCTTGCTTGTATTATTCCTGCAAATTAAAGGCACGAGCTAGTTGCCTTTTTTCTTTTTAATGTGAGTCGGTATTGCATAGCGTTGTGGAAGTCAACAGCACTTGAAAATTTTTTTGTGGATTCAGGCACTTCATGTTGGCTGATATGAACTTTGATTTCTGCTTTAGTTGCATATGTTTCTGCTTCCTTCCAAGTTTGACCCAACATACTTCTTTGATCCTATATGGGCATTCCCTTGTTGAGAATCAACAAACATTTGCAATTCATTCTCATATCACTGGCATGTATCGGGGTATTTTCAGATTTAATATCATAAAACTGGATACTAGTTAATATCTAAAAGATAATTTGTACTTTATGTCATAATTTGTACTTGATGTTGCAGCTTGCAGTTCCTACTCTACCATTTGGTGGTGTTGGGGAGAGTGGAACGGGTGCATACCATGGCAAATTTTCTTTTGATACTTTTAGCCATAAGAAGGCAGTCTTATATCGAGGTTTTGCTGGCGATGCACCTGTTAGGTATCCGCCATATTCTAGTGGAAAGATCAGGTTGCTGAAGGTTTTACTTGGTGGCGGTATTTGGGATATAATCCGTGCTCTATTTGGCTGGGGTAAGGCTTAAGAAGGGTCGTCCATAATATAAGTTTAAGGTACTCGGACTTTGTAAATTATTTTTTCCCTTTTACAATTTAAATAGCAACAGTATTCATGGGTTGGTTGCTACTTGCTACAGTTGATGTCCGGTACTTAATCATTATTTAGCTTAATTGTTAATACCAAAAGTGTGATGTTTTTACTTAGATATGTGAAATTATTTAGATATGCTGTGGGGTGTGGATTCATTCTCTACTTAATCATCTTACCTTTCATCTCTACATATGCTCTACCAATTACCAATTTTAATGTAAATAATAATTATTATTTACATGCAATTTTACATAACTGAGCTTTGAATTTCTTAATTTGTTTATTTGGTTTGTCTGCTCTGTATAGAATTATACCAGAAAGTTCTGATATTGAATTTGATGGAAACTCAGAGACGAGGTACTTGTGATTTATGAATATCAGATGCCATTAATATTCTGCATCTAATTCTAGTATTCAAGCATTTTTCATACGAGTTAAGCCCAATTATTTCTCAACCAGCTTTTGTTAGATTAGGTGTTAGATGACCAGTTGTAGAAGTTCTAAGCATATTTTTCGAGGATGTTTTGGGTTTTAGCGTATTGGTGCCATGAAAAAGAACTGAAACCACAAAACAGAGGAAATGAAATCTTTAGCTCAAGAAAACTGAACAATTCAACAAGAGTCCTCTAAAATACTAAGAATATCAGATCGCTGTTTGTCTGTAAGTTGTTCTGGGAAATCAACTAGGAATATGACTTTCAAATTTCCTCTCTTTCCTTGCTCTCTTGTGTTTGGCATACCTTGTTCTCTGATAATTTTCTCATAGCCAGGGTAAATAATATCATTGATCATCAGAGTCATGTTTTCTCCGCCTAACAAAGGGATTAAAATTTCACAGCCTGTTAGAGCCTGTACTAAGGGGATTTCAACTGCAATCTCCAAATCATCTCCTTCTCTACGAAACAGAGGATGCTGTTTCTCAGCAATCACAAAAGTTATATCTGCTGGGCAACAGCCGGGTCTTTCATTTCCCATTCCTTCAAATGTTATAGTTGTTCCTTCTTTCCATCCTGGCTTCACATCTATTGTCAGTATTTCCTCTTGTTGAACTGCTTTCCTGTCAAAAACCAAAGACAGGATAGGCTTTTCAGAAGAATGTTTTTGACATAAATGATTCAAAATAAATGATATCTTAAAAGCCAATATCCGATAGAGCACATGAAAGATTAGAAACAAACCCTGTGCATGTAAGAACTTCTCTTGTAACCTTAATCTTCTTCATGCATCCATAACACAACTCCTCTAGCGTGCACTCGAGATTCTTTTGAACAGCTTGAGGTTTTATCATCCCTGTTGAATTTGAAAACATAATAGGAGCGGTGCTCCTGCCGCTTGCATTTCTTGAAAGAGATGAGGTAAACCCATAATTTGATTCGTTGTTCGCCTTGCTCGCGCTTCTAGTTCTAGACATAAATGATGGTGTTGGAGAGGGACTCCTACGGCTCCCATTTCTTGATAGGGAAGCAGAAAAACGTGGAAAACAATAACTATCCACGGTTTTACTCCTGTAAATGTGTCTAGGGCTTACAGGACCATTGCTTTGCATGCTATCAGAATTGTATCTATAACTGTGGACTCCATTCATTTTTGGCTTTCCTGTTTCTTCCCCAGTGTCCTGTTCCTGCATATGTGGAACATGATGATTACGCTTGAAATATGGAAGAGGATATCAATGCTTTAGGATATTTTATTGGCCTAAGGCATAAATTTGACCCCCAACATGATTATTCTTATGGCTCCTTGAACTTTGCAAGGATCTAATCACTACACTTTCATATTTTAATAATAATTATGTCTCTTATCAAAATGAATTATGAGAATGTAGGTCATGATTGAACCCAGAAAAAATATCATGCCTTACGCTTTTACATGTGTATGTATGGTCATGATGGTTTTCCAAAATTTAAGAGACACAAGTCAAATTTATCATTGGTCATATTTTATTTTATGATGTAATTAAGAGAATATAAATATGACCCATGCAAGAAGCATTTCACGTTTGTGTGCTCTGAGAAAGGTTAATGTATGTAGCCTTCTCCCTACTTTTGCAAAGAGGTTGTTTCCCCATGACCTCCAAATTACAAATGGAGCGACTTTAGCATTGCACCAAAGTCTTCCGTTATGTAATTAAAAGAGTGGATTGGGAAAAATATAAATACCTGAGAAACTTGAGATTTTGCTTCAGGTTGTGCGGCTTGGCATGAAGATTGAGAATTTGAACATGATTTCTTTAAATGACGCCATTTTAAAATTGTTGATATGTAAAGTTTATAGAAAGAGTTCAAGCTTAATTTTTTCTTCTTCTTATCAGAAATGGGAGCACCTGTTGGTATGCCAAAAATCTCAGGATGATCCATTCACCATGAGAAAGACAAAAGAAAAGGAGAGAGAAAGAGACTTACAAAGAATTACTATTACCACAAGAATTCGTGGCTACCCAAACATGAAGCCTTTTTATTAGCAGAATTCGGAAGATGGAAAGGTTAATCTTACACATTACCCTTTACGTTATTATTATTATTATTGTTATTATTGTTATTATTATTATTATTATTATTTTGTCTATTAAGACTTAAGTAGTAGAAGGTTATGGGATTATGGTTTGAACTGTGTTCTACATTTCCTTCTACTTTTAGCAAGTTTGTTATAAATTTTCCAACTGTGTTTTTAATTTTTATTAGGAGATGGTATCAGCCTAGCTATAGAACAACATAAGCAATATTCTGTTTAACCTTTTACTATCTTGATCATTTCTTGGATTTGTCCAAGCTAAAATGAGCCCGTTCTTGTTTTAGGTTTTACAACTTTCACTCTCTATAAGTGTTTTTTTATGAATAATGAATTTAGGAGATGTTTGATTGGGGAAAAGTAAATTAAGAAGTGTAACTTTTTAAAAGATGCATAAAGTCTATTCGTATTATCAATTCTATTGTCCCAAAAATAGATTATTTAACTTCCTTTACACAGTTCCTTTACAGTTGTTTTTTATAATTTGAGAGTATTTTACTTTTTAAAGAGTTCATTTGCATACTAAACATGTTCAAATTATATTTTTTAAAAAATAATTTCCATAGAAATATACTTTTGAAAAAGTATGCTTCCAAAAAAAAAAAAAAAAAAAAAATAGATTAATTATAACTTCCTGATTACAGCAGATATCGCTTTACAGTGTGTTTTTGATAATTTGGAGAGTGAATGTTGTACTGTCTTTAAGAGAGAGTTCATTTGCCATAGCTAGAGAAGGGCGAGAGTTACCAGTGATTGAATAGATTAGGTGTAGAAGAGAATTCTCTTATGAGAAGAGATACGAACGCTTCGAAAGAAATATGGCTGTCCGCAAAAAAAAAAAAAAGATATCATTTTGAACTAAATAATTCCTTTAGTTGAGCAGCAAACTTGAATTTATCTGTGCATTTTTTTCCGCTGAAAATTTTGAACCAAGATTCTGGTCTGTTAGTCGAGGACCGTAATACAGGTTGAAATTTTAGTCAACTTATCTTGAAAAAAAAAAAAAAAAAAGATCATTTTGAACTAAATAATTCCTTAGTGAGCAGCAACTTAAAATTATCTTGCATTTTTTCCAGCGAAAATTTTGACCAGAGATTTCTTTTCTTTGTCGAGGACCGTATACAAGGTTGGAATTTTAGTCACTTATCTTGAATTTTTATTTTATTGTTAAATTATTCTTTTTTTGAATAATTATATTTGTAGTGTATTTAATTTTTCAAAATTTTAATTTCACTATCTAATTTTTTTTAATCAAATACTAACATTCTAAGCAAGTGTATTTGCACACACAATTACCTAGCGATGTGCATGAGATTACAAAAATTTCAATTTATCTCAAAAGACTAATTTTAAAATGAAACCGTTTTTTGATTACTATAGCAAATGATTAATAATTACTGTAACATAGGTCAAATCAGATAAAAAATATTTATGGATTTTAATACTTTCTATAATTCAATTTGATTTTAAATTCTTTGTAAATCAAAATTATAAATTTGATTAAATATAATTTTTTAATCAAATCAAATGGACGCATGTACATCCATGATTTTAGCGATATCGTGCTAAATTTATATCATAAAGTATTAGTAATAATTGAGTATGACAATACAAAATGTCGTCTAAAAAAAAAGAGTACAAAATGCGCGGCAATACAAAAACAGAATAAACCTATATTATCGAAAATTGAACCTGCGACCTCTCATAGCAAAGCCTTCATATATTATATATTCCACATTAATCCTATGCTATAGTAAATAAATTCCAATTTTTGTATCTTCTGTATATAATCTGAGAGTTTAAGGAACCTTTTGAATCAATTTATATATTATTAATTGAGATTAAATATTCTATTCAAACGAATTCAAAGCTGCACCTCAGCCATTGGCTCCCTCCATAATGTTTGCCCCAAAATTAAGTTCCTCCCTTGTAGAATGGTAGTCTATCTTCATGGTTGCAACCCAACCACTACAAATGAGAGTGTGATGTTCGACTTAACAAGAAGCTCACGCTGCTGGGCGTGGCAATGTTAGTCGATCTTAATGCATCTTGTCTTTTAACAAGAAACAGATGCAAGCTAAACATGTTCATGTCTGGCCTGCCAACTTCAATTTGTGCAGACTTTCAGACCATGATCGTACAACAATTTTTAATATAGTTAGCCTTTGATCTAAATTGTCATTTCTATTATTTATAGTATTTAGTAATGCAATATTTATTCGGTGTTTTGAAACATTTGTTCAGAGATTTGAAAGTATGGATTATGAGCAAAACATATAAAGTACTTCTAACAACTAATTTCGCCAATCTGGAAGCTGATTCGAATATAACAGTCATGGTAAGTTAAAAAAAAAAAAAAAAAATGATGTGGCAAATTTTTTGCAAAAAGCCTTGGGATTTGCACATGATTTTATTTCAATGGAATGAAAGAGATAATAGTAACAGAATCTCATAGATTAGACATATCAAGATAATAAGATGATGAATGATAAATTGATAACATCCGATGACTTTCTTTCCCTCCCAAAAAAAAAAAAAAAAAAAAAAAAAAAAAATGGATAAATTTGATAACATCGCGGATGACTTTCTTTCCCTCCAAGGGACCAAAAAAAAAAAAAACAAAAAAAAAAAAAAAAAAAAAAAAAAAAACAGAGATTGTTAGACTAATTAGATTAGATCCACCGTTTTCTGACGTTTTGACCTCCTCGGAACCACCGATCCCAGCTGATATCCGTCGTTCCTCTGCTCCTGAAAAACAAAAACGAAATACTCGTAATTATATGTAATGCAAAATTAATTAAATTGTGATTAATTAATTACGCAGAAAGCTTACAGTGGAAGCAAGGGATCTGGAATGGATTCAACACTTGAAATCAGTCTGCAATTAAAATTAACATTTTAATTTCACAATTCACCAAAAGGAAAAAAAAAAAAAAAAAAAACCCAGCACAAAAAAAAAAAAAAAAGTAAAGGCAGCTTTTTAGTAATTGCTTACTCTTTACAAACAATTGGAGGGATTCACAACCTAGTTTTGTCAAGATTGGGCCAGCATCACTCCTACATAATTAAAAAGTACAAAATAGAAATTTGTTATACATAATTTTAGATATTGTTTATTAAGAAAGAGAAGAAAGAAATTAAGGAGTAGAACCTGAAGGAAAAAATTTTGGTTTTTGGAGATGTGAAATAAGCGCAACGCAGCCATTCAGAGTGTTTTCCCCAAGAAAACCGTTATTCATCTGTTTTAGGAAAACATGTTGAAGGATGGCGTGGCGATGGAGGCCGCCTCTTCCATCACTTTGGCTCTCCTGGCTGGCTGGCGCGAGGGCTGATGATGATTATATTCTATTACTGTTGCGAAATGTCCCCTAACGATGAAGAAACGAGGAAATTAAGAAAACAGAGAAGAGAAAATGAATGATTAAAGGCCGAGTGACGCAGGTAAAGTCGAGAAGAGAGAGATGAGAGGAGAGAGAGAGGTAACTGATAAAAAAGCAGATGGTCAAAAGGAAAGAAAAGGAGGGACTTCAGTGACGGCAGAACAATCGACAATAGGCCACTAAGGTAAGTATGATCAAATATGAATTATATGTATAAAGAATGATGAGGAAGACAGGGCTGTGTGTTGATCTCGTGAAGATTTAGAGGATAAAAGTGGAGGGGACCATAATTAGGATAAGAGAATGGGGACCCCCATCATCACCATTCCCCAAGCCTCTTCATGCGCCCAATAAATTAAATCATCCTCCAGATGTTCGTTAAAACTACCAACACATCAAGGTCCCACACGAAAGTCATATTGTGCAAATCTATACATAATTTGCTACTTGAGGAGGACTTTGAATAATTTTTGTGGAAAAATTTTGGGAGAAAATTAGTGTGTAATTATCATGTATTTTTATGTTATTTTAAATTTTTATAGTGTAAATTATTTTTTAGTAGAAATTGTTATGTCTGGTTGAAAAAAAAAAAAAAAAAAAGTAAAGAGCTTAATTAGTAATTGCTTACTCTTTACAAACAATGGAGGATTCACCTAGTGTTTCAAGTTGGTCCAGCTCCTCCTACATAATTAAAAGTAAACAAAAATAGAAATTGTTTAAATAATTTTAGATATTGTTTATTAAGAAAAGAAAAAGAAATTAAAGGAGTAGAACCTGAAGGAAAATAATTTGGTTTTGGAGATGTGAAATAGCAGCAGCCATTCGATGTTTTCCAAGAAAACCGTTATTCTCTGTTTTAGGAAAAACTGTGAAGGATGGCGGTGGCGATGGAGGCCGCTCTTCCATCCTTGGCTCTCCTGCTGGCGGCGAGGGCTGATGATGATTATTCATTACTGTTGAAATTCTACGATGGAGAAACAGGAAATTAAGAAACAAGAAGAAGAGAAATGAAATGATTAAAGGCCGTGGACCAGGTAAAGTCGAGAGAGAGAGAGAGAGAGAGAGAGAGGACTGATAAAAAAAGCAGATGGTCAAAAGGAAAGAAAAGGAGGCTTCAGTGACGCAGACAATCGACAATGGCCACTAGGTAAAGTATGATCAAATTGAATTTATATTATAAAGAAGGGATGAGGAAGACAGGCTGTGTGTGACTGTGAGATTTAGGATAAAATGGGGACCATTTAGGATAAAATGGGGACCCATCATCACCTTCCCCAGCCTCTTCATCGCCCAATAAATTAAATTCATCCTCCAATGTTCGTTAACTACCACCATCAATCCACACCAAGTCATTTGTCAAAATCTATCATAATTTTGCTTTACTTTGAATAATTTTAAAATTTGAAAAATTAGTTTAATTATATTTTTTTATGTTTATTAAATTTTATAGTGTAATTAATTTTTAGTAAAATTGTTGATGTTGTTACTCAGAATTTCAATATGCTTTAATTTTAATTTGTCACATTATTGAAACCTATTTTAATTTAAAATAAATAGTATATTTTCTGTTTTATAAAAATGTACTCACCCTATTTTATTTGCACAATAATTTAATTTCTCTTTTAAGAAAATTATAATCATTGTATTTTTTTTTAAATACAAAGATTCTTTTATTTGTATGAAAATTCAGTAATTAATTTAAATAACGTATGAAAATTCTTTTATTTGCTCTAGAAAATATAGGCCAAAATCTCTAACAATGTTGGAGATGGGCCTTCTTTTTATGGTGAAATCCTTGGGCCTAGGAGATGGCCCTCTAAAAAGGCCCAATTTAAACACTGGAAGCCCAAATTTTAGGGCTGTTTAAAGTTCAGTTTAATTAAATATCGCAATTTCGCGAATTGGGAACGAAGGATGGGTAGATAGGTAGCGGAACCCATAACAGCAGAGGTAGAGCTGCCAATGGCGAAGCAAATGGTGCGGTGTTTTTTACATCTTCCGCTTTCATCTAGAGCTCTTTTTTCACCTCCCGTTTGCTTTGCCACCAGAGCAGAGAGAACCACAGCCACCTCTACTGCTAATTCTATTAGCAACAAGAAGAAGAAGAGTAAGAAGAGTGAGGAGAAGAAGAAAGCAGAGTTAATAGCGGTAAGGAGGGAAAAGGAGAAGAGAAGAACTCGTTCTGATAAAGAATTTGGTTCTTCTTCTTCATTTGATTTTCACAATAATGGAAATCATATCCCTGTTATGCTTGGTGAAGTTGTTGACGTCTTCTCTTCATTGAATCTTCGCTCTTTTGTCGATTGTACTCTTGGCGCCGCCGGCCATACCTCCGCCGTCAGTATATTTCCTTCCTTCATTTTGAGTAACTGATATTAATACCTTGTTTGTTTATTTATTTATTTATTTATTTTTGTAATGTTCAAATATTGTTTAACAGATAATCCAGGCCCATCCTGAACTGGAAAATTATGTAGGGATGGATGTTGATACAGTTGCACATGCCAAGGCTCGAGCTTGCATTGATACTTTACTGCATTCTCATTCTAACTTGAAAGCACACACATTTCTGAGAAATTTCAAGCACATAAAGTCTGTATTGGCGGAGGTTGATCCAAGTCTTTTGCATTCTGGAGTTGATGCTATCTTGATGGACCTTGGAATGTCATCCATGCAGGTCTTTTTACTCTTTCTCTGTTTCTGATGAGAACTGAAAACCATATCTTCCCCCATTTGAGTTATACACCATATTTTACTCTTCAGTGCCTAAAACTTTACCCTTTTTGTTTGCAGGTGAACAATCCTGAAAGAGGGTTCAGCGTTCTTGCTAATGGACCCCTTGACATGCGGATGGACCCTCAGGTATCTGCTGCTATAAAACTCTTGAACAATTAATACGTGTCCCTATAATTTACATTAGTTATTTTTAAACCACATTTTATCACCATAATGATTTCACCTTTTCGACAGAGAGTTGTGTTTATTATTGTCAACAATGTCTTATTTGAAAGTGCGGAATTTACCAATCTGTTTAGTAGGGCATAACATTTCATTTAACCCTAGTTGTAAACTTCACCTATTGTTATTCATGCTGAAAATGGAGACAAATCTAACAAGAGATATTGGTGAAAAAAGTTGTCAGGGAAGAGAAAAAATAAAGAATTGTTAAGAATGTACGGCTAGATATGTAAATTATAATGAGCTTTCTTAGTGCTCCATATCTGAAGGAAAACCTTACGGATGTATGCCATAATTTAACTGGTGAGAAAATCTCATTGGTGATATTCTTGATTCTTTTCCCACTTTTCCACTGGTGTTTGATTCTTTTTCCCAAAATATGATTGTTGAATAAATTAAGTTGTCAAATTCTCCATGCATGGTTTAGGCAATTTGTTTCCTTGTAGTTTATCATTTACATTGTGATTTATATATTTTCTTTGTAATTTCTTATAATGGTTAGCAGAGGGACGGAAGCTGGTGATCAACTGATATTCAAGGACCCTAAATTTACTTTCTCTTCCCTTAAATTCTTATTGATCTTAATTTTGATTGTTTCGTAATGAATAATTTCTATTAATTTAACTGACTGGAACAGGCATATGACAGGCGAGTCTGAAAGCAGAAGACATATTAAATTCCTGGCTCGATACAGAGGTGGGCAGAGTTCTACGGGATTATGGGGAAGAAAGCAATTGGCATTTGTTGCAGAAGAAGATTGTTCAGGCTCGTTTACGTGGTGGTTTGCATTCCACTGGTGATCTTGTAGATCTCATTCGTAGTTTAACTTACGGGATGAGAGGTACAACTTCCTAAATCTGTTTCTTGGTTTTTGATTTTCTCTATTTCTCAAACCTTTGTAGTTTGTACAACATGGTTAAACAAGTTTATACTTTTCATTATCCCTAGTTCAAACTCTCTGTATGAAGGGGTTTTTTTTTTTTTTTTTTTAAGGGGGTTAATATTACATAGAATACTTATTTGTAATGATAAGGTGATGAATTGAAAAATTGATTAGTGCAATAGCTTTCTGAATAAATAAAATTTTTATTGAACTTCTACAGGGGGGAGACAAGGCTGGATAAAGATGGCAACACGAGTGTTTCAGGCTCTGAGGATAGCTGTTAACGATGAACTCAACACTCTGGAGAAATCCCTTAATGCTTGTTTTGAGTGCCTTGCGCCTGGGGGAAGGCTTGCTGTCATCTCTTTCCACAGTTTGGAAGATAGAATTGTGAAACAAACATTTCTTAAGATCATTGAAACTGATAGAGAGAATGCAAACGTACAAGGGAGAGACGAAAAAGACTTACAAAAGATTGAAGATGAGAGTGATAAAAAAGAAACATGGATTAGGTCAACAGTACATGGCCGCAATGGAACAATCCTCACAAAGAGACCGATAACACCATCAGAAGAGGAAGAAAGGTTGAATCGGAGGAGTAGAAGTGCTAAACTCCGAGTGATTGCCAAAGGTTAATTGTAGAATAATTGTCCACGGAAGCGCTCGAGTATTAGGCATTTTGATTCACTTCTTAGCTACCCATCTGCTATCTATGCATGCATAGGAAATGAATTGTATAAACCATTAGAAGGAAATGGAATGAGCAGAAGAGGCAGCTTTACTGGCATTGCTGATCAATTCATGGAAATTAGGTCGGAGAATTTCGAAACAGCATCCGTGCGTGTCTCCAGGTTGTACATGAGGACATCTTGTGCCTGCTGAAAGAGTGGAAATCAGTAGTCGTGAAGGAGACAACGGTAGTTGGTTTGTTATTAGAAATTGAAATTGTAGATTTTTTCTTAACATTATGTTTGGATTAGATAAGTATTTGAAAATAAAAATTCACCCAAAATTTCATTCGGAGTATTTTAGTTGAAATCATATGGTTTCAGATTTATGATTTCACAACAGAGGAATATTCACAATATTAATTTAGTGTAAAGAGTGAATTTGAAACTACATTTTAACCTAACGTCAAATCAAATAATGCATTATGAAAAACAAAAACAAAGCGTGATAAAATTAACTTGTGAAATTCACTATAATAATTAAAAATTAAATAATACTTTCAAAACTATTAATCATTAATAATTTGTGTAAGCCTAATGTAATGGAATGAGTTATTCTAGTCATTATATTTATATGTTGCTTGTTCTTTCCATATCTTTTCAATGTCACACTTGGAATTCTAATGATTTTCAAATGCTAAACAATGAATTTCATTATCATTTAAAGCAATAAAGAAGAGACTTTGATCTTTGACGTATTAAAAAAATAATAATAATATTTTTGTTGTGTAGCACTTTCAAAATAAAGACTTTAACCTAACAAATTCAATAAAAATAAAATCATTATAAATAAAAAAGTATTTTCTTTTTTCTTTCAAAAAAAGAAAATAAAAAATCTTACAAGTAAAAGAACGCGTAAGTGGCTTTTGCCAGAAAAACGGTGCCATAATATAATTATGAATAAAAAGGCGCCAAAATTGCTGTTTTGCATGCATGTTGTTAATGTTAGTTACGTATTAACATTCAAACAACCAGCACAGCACATATATTACGTTTGCTTTTCCTACTTTGATCCATCTCCTCCTTTCTTTCTCTCTTTCTTTACTTCGTCTCTTCCTTTTTGCTCAAGAAGAGAGAAAGCATTGGAAGCCTCTGCTCAGAGACTTTGAATAAACAGGTAATATGGTTGAAATCTTAATTTTGTTTTCATAATATGTTTGGTTGTAATTAGTTATTGCAAATTACTTATTTTGATCTTGTTTAGATGAGATTACTATTATTTACTATACTAGTTGAGTTTTAATCAATTTCTTGATATGCTGATTAAGAAATACCTTAATAATTACTTTTAATATTTTAATTATATTAAAAAGTATTTATTTTGTTATCACTTATCATATAATAAAAATTTTGGATGAATTTTACTAAATAAATTTATTTATTAATCAAATAAAATTCAAATAATTATTTGGCTTTTCTATTAAGATCTGGTAATAAAATTGAAATTTACACGATACTGCTTAGTTGAGATGGCTAATGCACATGTCTAGAACCAAAAGAAAAAAATGTTTTTTAGATTCAAATTCCCATCTCCTTACCATTTATAATTTGTTTGCATTTGCTTTAAACCGATTGCAGAACCTTCCAGAAAAAATAATAATAAAATTGAAATTTACAATAATATGTAATAATACTAGAATACAAGTTACTGCTATGCAGAACTCTCAGTTAATAAGAGAGCATATTTATATAAATAGATGACTTAGAAAAAGACCAAAAAAATTTTGTCCTTTCAAACTGGATCATCCTTGAAAGTAAAAACACTTAGAAGACTAACAATTCTCTTTCTTTTTGAGACCTTTTCCTCGATTTTCGAGCAAAACCCTGATAAAACTTTAGATACTTTAATGGGTTTTGATTTTCACACTCATCAACTAATTTTCCGGTTTGTTTGGGTTGTTGGGTTTGATTATATCCAAATAGCTCTAACCCAGAAACAGGAAATCAGTGGTGACTGGTGAGGATGATGGCAATGACAACAAGCAGTAACAAATGGAAATTAACCACATTCCCATCTTTGACCACCAACACAACAAGGTCTTTCTCTGCCTTTTTTATTTGCAAATTTTTTTTTCCTCTTTGATTCTTAATTTGTGTTCTGATATTTTGAATTTTCTTTATTTAGGAAGAGAATGGAAAGAGTTAGGGTTTTTTCAGTGCAAAATTCAAAGACAGCAAATTTATCTGCTGCAACAAGGCGAAGAATTATTTTGCCAATTAGTGAAGATGGGTACAGAATTGCTGAATTTCTAAGTCACCCATCTGGGATTGAAGCTTTGTTAAATTCAAAGTCACTGGAAAGTTACGAATGGATAGAATCCAATACATATAGGTGCATTCTGCCAAAGTTTCAACTGCTAAACATTGAAGCAGCCCCTGTTATGGACTTGAGAGTTATCCCAACAGAACAGGATTGTACCGTTGAGATGGTTTCTTGCAAGGTTAGCTTATCCTATCCCTATCTCTTTGCATTTTTGATGTAGTGGAAAACTACTACAAGGAAGAAAATGAAATGCTCTTTTTTTTTTTTTCTTCTTTTTATTGCACTTGATTTAATTAATTACATGGATCGACTGGATTCGGAAAATTTCTTGCATGAGGATCCCATTATATAATTAGGTCTCACTCTATATGTGATGATTTTAGTAAAATTTTTATAGAATTAAGATTCATTTAATTTCTGGTTCAGTTAATAGAGCTATGAGACAAATCTTTTGATGTTCATCATTTATTCATATAATTTTTGTTGTTATAAAGTATACATAAGCATGTTTAAGTTTCTAAATGTTGATTGGTGATTTAATATGTAGTTTCAAGGTTCAGTTCTCATGGAGAGCCAAAATGAACATTTTTCAGGTACTCATAGTATGGATCTTGTAACTTCTACCGGAACTGGATAGCTGTTAGAATGATGTACTGCAAATTAATTGTTATTTTGGTTACTAGTGCATTCTTTCAGTCAATAATGCATAAAACTCGTTTTCAACTTTGATTTAACTTGCAGCTTTCATGACGAATCGTGTGACGTGGAACACAACCGATTCTTCTGAACCATTCGTAGAGGCTGATGTGAATATCGATTTTACAGTCGAGGTTGTTAGTGTTCCACTTATAAATCAATATAGTTTGCTAACGAATTTTATGCTTCATATTCGTAAACATTACTCGGGTGTTTCTGAATTGATTCTTGTCTATTAATATTGGAGAAATGGTTGATTGTGATGTAGCTTTACTCTGCACCATTTACTTATCTGCCAATATCTGCTGTCGAAGGTCCCGGAAATTTGTGAGTAATATTACAACTACAAATTTGTAATCATTATGTGCTTGTGAATGTGATCTGAACTGTTTAAATTAGTCTTTCTTGAAATTTACTTTTTATATCTTTATCAAAATCAAATTTCATGTAATCTGAACAGGTTTTGTATATCAGCATTTGATTTTCTATCTGATTACTCTGCTGCTATTTGTCTAATATCTTCAGCATGTCACAGAATGATGCAGGCTTTAGTGGATAGACTTGTAAATTTGCTTCTGCAGCAAATAATGCAAGATTATGATAAATGGGCAAATGAACAATGCAAAAATGTTTCTTGAATTTTCTCTCCTCCTCTTTGCATGCTCAGGTAATTCCTTTGAACTTACCTTAACTGTTAATCCTAGCTTAGTCTCTGTAGTTCATTTTCTTCAGAACACTCTTTTGTCTGCAATAACAGTTTTTACTTCTGCATATTTGGGTTTTGATAAAGGATGGTAATGTGTAGGTGGAACCATTGATTTGGAGCTAACAAGAAGAGCAACGGACATTATGTCCATTCAAGTTTAAGGGAGTACACACAATTAAACAATTGGTCATTTATTAGAGCAAAATTTCCTCTCAACTTCTAATTGCTTTTATACCAACACTGGCATTAACATAAATTTCTTGTTAGTTACCCTGAAATATTGTCAAATGGCATGAATAAGGTGTAAAGGGTCCTCATGGTAGCAGTAGAAGTGTTGTATCACAAAGTAAATAATTTGATTTAATGAGTTATTTATTCATATTATTATTGAAGTGGAATATGGAACTGTGAATACCTATTTTTTACACTTGAATATCCAAAGCAGACCAAAAAAATCCCTCAAACCGGACCTGAACTGGACAAACCGAAAAGCAGTGCGAATACAATAATTCTAGTTCTTATTTTGAATATTTCAAAGAGATTTCATCTCCCTCCTTAATAGTCCAAAAAAACCCAATTGAGAAACAGGGGGTGTTAGTGTTACCATAATCCCATGTCTGTCTTGAGCAGATCTAAGCAAAATCAAAGTAATCATTCAACTTAATTTACCATCAGTGATACAAACTGAGGCAAATTCAACAAAAATAGCTGCTTTTTTGTAATTTTATTGACACTAACACTGACAAACATTGGAGGAAAAAAAGGAAAGATATGAACTTTATAAGCAAATGAACAATCCAAAAGAACACAAGAAAGCACAAAAGCCCTTACCAAGAAGACAATAAAGATATTAAGGAAGAACATCACTCTCAAACCTTGCCTCAACAAAAGAAAAGGTGCAGAGGCAATCCAAAAAGCCAAATATTTGGAATTAATGCCTCTGATATTGGACTTCCTGTGGTAATATCAGAACTATAAGCTTGATACCCAAGTTGACCAAATCTCATTATGGCCCCAAATTGATAAAACAATATGTGTTCTTCATCAGCTTTTGTAATTCCTGTCCACTCTCATTGGCCAAAGCTGGGAGGTCTCTTTCTACAATGGGTTCCTCACTATCTTGGTGCTTGAAAATGGAATTCTTGCTGGAACTTGAAAATTTTCCTAGTTTTTGGTTTTGGGTATTTGAGAAAGTTTGGGATTTCTCTCTATCAAAGTTCAGGGCAGTTGATTTATTGTCACAATCTATATCCCTAGGAAGCAATCCAATAATTATTGAGTCTGACTCTGAGATTGCTATTTGTTAGATAACACAAAGAGATAAGCGACCATGGAAGTGGAGAGAGCGCTTTAATAAATTTGATTTTATGGTGCAATATTTCAAAAATATTTCTTTTACTCGTGTTTTCAGTGAAGAGAATTTTTTTGCAGATAGTTTGGCAAAAATGGATGTGGATGCTACAATGTCTTTAGTAGCTTGAATACGATGATTTGGATTGGAATGAACAATTCTGTCTCTTAATTTGGTTATTAGTTTTCCTTACATCCTGGAATTTTTGTGTCGTCCATTCGTGCTTGGATGCTTTGAAATTTTCGTTGGAATAAATGTACATAACTATCAGTTCGGGATTCTTTGCTGTCCATTATGGTTTTGTAGGATGGTGTTTTTTTGTTTGTTCTTTGGCTCTCTCAGGTTTTGGGTTGTTTTTATTGGACCAACAGGTCAAAAACTATTGACCTAATAAAGTCATGGTTTTTGGAATTTGAGTAAGGATCAAAAGATTCAAATGGAATGTTTTAAATAAAAGAAGAATAAGAAGGTTTTAAGAGTTTAGAGTAAAGTATATGTAAGCGCATTATCACCGTAGAAGCTATTGTGACAGAAAATTAGGGTGTATATAGAAAGTTTAGCTTAACGGTAGATCTTAAACTAATGAGATTAATTTTATTTGGGTCAATTCTAATTCGTAGCATTATAAGTTTAGGGCTATAAGACTTTTACTGTGGTATAATGAATTATCAACTTTTAGATAAAAAATGATTTTGTTTTCCTCTCAACAATAAAATAAATAAATTAAAATTAAGCCAATCAGGTATAGTTATGATTGGACTTTTTATCTCTTATTAAAGATGTAAAAAGTGAAAGGTATTGAATTCAAATTTTCTTTTACCAATTTAGAAAGAAGGATTGTCCCTATTATTATTTAACCAGTAATGTTATTCATTGGGTCTCTCATTTATCAAAAAAAATAAAATTAAAAAAATAAAAGCGAAAGCCCTACCTTCATCTTCTTGTATCATCGGAACTCTTCCAGCCCTCCTTTTTTTAAAAGGAAAACTCTTCTGACTTGTTCCTCGTCCTTTCCTGATTTAAATATGATATAACGTCTGATATTCAAAGGACAAAGTTGCCCTTCTTGAACCACTGTTTCAATGGAATAGGCGGAGGTAGAATTGTCATTGCACTTCCAATCCCGCGTTCTAGACGCTGTCTCCCTTCCGATGGAACTTCTCCAGACCCCACCACCCACCTGTCGGTAAGCAATCCGTGTTTTAACTGATTCCCAAAAAAAAAAAAAAAAAAAAAAAACTTCTCAACCCCCACCACCCCCTGTCCGGTAAGCAATCCGTGTTTTAAAAAACTGATCCAAAAAAAAAAAAAAAAGAAAAATAGAAAAAAGCTTCCCCACTTTTATTTAATGTCTCGAAATATTAGAATAAGGAGATTGTATTTTCAATTAACTAAAAAAAAAAAAGATACCTTAATTTTAGTTTTCTTTTTAAAATTTAATGTAATTTAAAAAGAAAGAGAGCGAGAGATATAAGAAAAAAAAAAAAAAAAAAAAAAATAGAAAAAAGCTTCCCACTTTTTATTTAATGTCTCGAAATATTAGAAATTAATAGATTGTATTTTAATTAACTAAAAAAAAAGATACCTTATTTTAGTTTTTCTTTTTAAATTAATTATATTTAAAAAGAAATTACTTCCAAAGTAATATAGACAGGAAGTACATACATCAAAAGAAATTTAACGAACCTTTTATAACTATTTCAACAATATATGAAAAAATAAGAACTACTAAAATAACTAAAATTTCAGTTAATGGGATGTTATTTTGGAATAGAAGAAATACAATTAAATCTCTTTTTGTTACCAAAAAAGAAAGTAAATCTCCTTTTTCTTTTGGCAAAAGGTCCTCAACCTTTCCAAAAAAAAAAAAAAAAGAAAAAAAAAACTTTTTGGTGTATAAATATGTGGAAGTTGCCACGTACGGCAAAGCTCGCTATAAGGAAGAACCAAGTAGACTTGGCTCTTCTCCCGTCTGTCTGTCAAACTCTCCTGTTTCTCTCTTTTCTTTTCCCTTAAAATTTATTTTCTGAGCTGAAAATATTTGGAACCCTCTTGAGAAAGACTTTTTGTTTGATTCAAAAAGATGGAAAAGAAAAGCAAAAGAAGACGACTTTCATCATTGGTGAAGATCTTCTTCTTCGTTCTGGTTTTAGCTGCAACTTTTCGCGGCTCTTTATCAGCGGCCATTCAACAACCCAGCAAAAAGAAGTCAACGTCAACCCATACGACGGCTGCTACTAGTTTTGACTCTTCTTTCGTTCTTCCTATCTCTGGAAATGTTTATCCACTTGGGTATGTTTTTCGATTACCCGAAATGCAGTTTTTATGTTTTCTTTTTAATTTTTAATTTGGATTCAATTTGAATTGTTGTGTGATTCTTGTGTTTCTCTTTTTGCTAGTTGTTTGTTTGATTAGCTTAGCTTTGTTGGAAATAATGTCCTCCTCCTCTTTTGTTATTTGTTTTCTTCTAGATTGCAGCCTTACTTTCTTTGACTATTACATTTGATCATAGATTGGGTAAATTTATTTTATCTTTTTGGAAAAGAAATAGGTCTTTGTATTATCCTGTGGTTATGGGGAACTGCTAATGGAACAAGTATAAATTATCAAAAGAAAAAAAATATCTTTCATTTCCTATTCTCTTTTTTTCTAGACTTTAGACAAATTCATGTATTGAATTATTGATAGCTGATGTTGTAATCTTTTGGATTTTGTCATTTTGTTTGTTGATCTATGTTTAATCTCTCAGTTTTCCCCAATTACTGGAACAAATTATGATACTTGGATTTTATTTAAGAGTAGAAAAAACTTATTATCTTTTCCTCCCAATTTGCAGGTACTATTCTGTTTCCGTCAATATAGGTAATCCCCCCAAGCTTTTCGACTTAGATATCGACACAGGTAGTGACCTCACTTGGGTCCAATGTGATGCGCCTTGTACCGGTTGTACAAAGGTAAATGTGCTATATAAAACATGATAACTCAAACCAGATTCTCTCCTTGGCCTCACCTAGTGTATGTATGTATACCCTTTATTTGTGCAGCCTGTGGATCACCTTTACAAGCCAAGAAACAATCTAGTGCCTTGTTCTAACCCCTTCTGCAGCGCTATGCATTCGTCAGAAAACCACCAATGTGAGTCTTCAAACGATCAATGCGATTATGAGGTGCAGTATGCTGATGAAGGTTCATCTATTGGTGTGCTGGTCTCAGACCACTTTCCTCTAAGATTAATGAATGGCTCTCTCCTCAATCCTGTAATGGCCTTTGGGTAGCTCTCAAACTTGCCTATGAGTTCACACCATTCTCAACTTTTTATTTAAGTCTTGGTTAAAGGGATTAAAAAGTTTGAACTTTGTTTATAAGTTGTTTATAAGTTGTTTATTTAAGTCAGATTATTCAGCAAACCAGTTTTATCCAAAAAACTTAAATGATATAATGTGTATAATTTCTTGATTGAATTTACTAGCGGCTTCAATGATATTTTGTTATTTTTCCATGAACAATGGTTTATAATCTTGACTATAGATGCGGATATGATCAAAAAAATCCAAGTCCAATCCCTCCTCCTCCAACGTCAGGGGTCCTTGGCCTTGGGAAAGGAAAATCAAGCATCATATCACAATTGCAAAAATTGGGTGTGATGAAAAATGTTATCGGACACTGTTTAAGCAGTCGTGGAGGAGGATTTTTATTCTTTGGAGATTATCTTGTGCCTTATTCAGGAATCAGGTGGATACCAATGTCGCAAAGTTCCTCAGAGTAAGAGCTCTATACTCTGTGCTTTCACCTTATGCAGGCTATATAATTATCTTACTTTTGGTATACATAATTCATCTAAAAATGATTTCATTCTCGATTTCTTTTTCAGCAAACACTACATATCAGGACCAGCAGAGCTTCTTTTTGGTGGAAAGCCTACTGGTGTAAAGGGCCAGCGATTTATTTTTGACAGTGGGAGCTCCTACAGTTACTTCAATGCCCAACTGTACAAAAACATGCTTAATTTGGTGAGATATGAATAAGAAGGAGCATTACCCTGTAGTCATAAATTTAAGTAAAAGACAATTTGGCTATATTATTTTGTTGCTGGAACAATAATTTATTTATGTCTCAGATAAGAAAGGATCTATCAGGAAAGCAATTAAAAGATGCACCAGAGGAGAAAGCCCTCTCTATCTGCTGGAAAGGTATAAAACCTTTCAAAACTGTTAGTGACGCCAAGAGCTACTTCAAGCCCTTAGCATTAAGCTTTACAGCTGCGAAGAATGTTCAGTTGCAGTTGCAACCTGAAGATTATCTTATCGTCACGGTGAGGAACCATAGAAACGATTCACATGTTACCTGCATTTCATAAGCATAAGAATATACAAGCATAAATATGGAATTAGTCCAGTTGGTAAGAATAGGAGTTCCCCATTCTTAACTAGAATTTTGACACCATTGGGGAGCATTCCAAGGATAATATTTCTGAATGCATCTAGCGAATGTGGGGGAGTACACCCTGAAGATCACCTAAAAAGCGAATTTAGTCTTGATGTGTTCTACACATAAGCTGACACAGGAATACCTCCTGACTGTAAATACCAAGCTTAAAAATTAAATGACAGTGATATCTATAGTAAGCCCATTTCTTAATTACTTTGCAATTTTTGCTAGTGTAATAAACTGCTATGCAACGCAGCTCTAGAATCTGTTTTCCTGCAATTTGGAAGCATGTCTAACAGACTCTTCTCTTTCAGAATGGGGGAAATGTGTGCTTGGGGATTCTAAATGGCAGCGAAGTAGGGCTTGGAAACCTCAATGTCATTGGAGGTAAGAAATCCCTTACATAACAAACAGAAAAACCAATAAGATCTAACCGCTTGAATTTTTTTCATTTTGTAAATTACTCTCTGTCCCAAAATATAAGGTGTTTAAAATTTTGCACAAAAATTAAGAACAATTAATTCTTTTAAATTATAACAAAACCAAGTGTAATTTAACCAGATTTCCTTTATCTCAAAACTAAGAGTAATTTGTTAAAATAATTATTGTATTTAATATAAATAAGGATAACATTGAAAAAATATCATTTATTATTCTTTTAAATACTCAAAATGGCTAATGTTTTCGAAAATAATCACCCAAAACTACTTAAATTTTGGGATGGATGGAGTATGATTTATAACACATTTCACTTTCTTGCTGTCCAGATATTTTCTTCCAAGATAAACTTGTGATTTATGACAATGATAAGCATCAGATCGGTTGGGTTCCTGCAAATTGTGACAGACTTCCCAAGTCCTGAACCATTCTATTCTAATAGTTCTTCCCTTTGATGCAATTTTGCTGAAGGACTTTCTCATTGGGATTTTTTTATTGACAGTGTGGACCGTGATTTTATCGAGGGTTTTTGTCAGCCTTACACTATCAATTACGGTATCCTTGAAGACCACTGTCCATCACAATATGCTACTGTTAAGAACAATAAACTGATCGATACAGAGGGCATTGGACCAAGATATAAAAGGCAAAAATAGCTTTATGATATTATATATTGTAAATAAATACATTTGTTCAATCATAGGTTTAAAAAAGCTGTTCTTTTTTGTTCTGTAACCATCGCAAATATAAATGGGTATGACCCACATACAAAGAAAGTAACTTTTGTTACAAAATATATAATTTTCTTGTCAGGTCTGCGTTAAGATAGCTTCATCTAAATCATAAGAAAAAGTCATTCCATGGTCGCAGGCTTCTACTGAGAGAATTAGCAGAGTGGACATAAACTGATCCATTCACTTTTGTTACTGTACAAATTGGTTAAACCTGCAAAATACCAACATATCTATTGTAAAATTCATAACATTGGAATTCATAAAGAATTTACTGATAATTAAAGTGGCTAAGCGTTACAAATTTATATGAACCTAATAATGAGATGCATTGTTTTTTTTTTTTTCAAATCCTAAAGTATCTGCATATTATTGTCTGTCCCAATATAAAATGTGAATATAAAACGTAACCTAGTAAAATTGCAGCAATCACTACCATGAAAAAGCACAGACACAGATTCATGTAAAATAAGGCAAGCTGAGCCCCAAATCACCAAAACGGATTCTACATAAATACCAAACTACTTTACTTGAAACTTGACTCAGCAAATTTATTGGACTACTTAAGCTGCAGAACTATTGTGATTCCATGTCCAGCTAAAACAAAAGGCTAACCCTTAAAGAATGCTAACGCCCCAATCTACAAATTATTACCATCCTGTACTGATCCAGCTAGTTTGATAGTGTTATTTCATTTTAGTGATAAGCATGTCAATGCCGTCTAACTTGATGGAATCCTGTCATTGACGGTGATGCTCACCGCCATAGTGGATGCTACAACTGGCATGTAAGAATTAGTGCCATCAAAATTGTGGTCTTGTCCAGCATGTGCACATTGCATGAATAAGTTTATTTCTGCAGCAGATGATATGGAAACCTGAAGACAATCTCCACTTCCTATGTTCCTCTTTATAATGTAATTTTATCCAACAAATTGTCTTAATGCAGAAACGTCAGGAAAGGATAAGATGCTGAAACTCTGAATATTTTTATTACTCAAAGGTATACGAAGCAGTAACTTCCAAAATTTCCAATTGTTCAGTGAAAATAGGCTAGAAGAACATCATAATCAATGCCTGATCAAGGAAGAGGAGAAAGAAAATCATGCATCAATACAAACCTCAAACGTCAGGAACTCCAATCTGACCACAATAGGTCATGGAATGTTACAAGATTTGATTTACACACTGCATAGTAAAACAACCAATCTTAGAAGATTAACATAAAGCATGGAAGAAAATCCCGAACATACTCAGAATTGTGCAACAGTTCAAATTCTGTTAAAATGATATTTATAACCATTTCAGTTACCAAAAGAAATAGTTGCCTATCTACGAGGAAAACAAATTGACAAAAATCAGCCAGTTATGACTGTTTGTAATTTGTGCAGCTTCTTATTATTAGAAAGAAAATCATATGTTAAATAATTAAAATAAGCCAAAAGCAAGTTCATAAAAGAAAGCAAATAAAGGAAAATGTACCTTTGCATGAGAAATTTTTGTTATTGCCTCGATATGAAAATTCTGTAGTTGCTCAAGAGTTGTGACATCCAAACCACCAATATCTTCACCCTGACAAGTTTTGAACTATTCTTCATCAGTGTTCTGTTTGGGCAATCATTCTTCATTAATAGATTGTTTTCAAATTGTTCTCATTATTTATTTGTTTTTCCTCTTTCTCCACTGTTTTTCTCCTCCTATTTATTTTTGTTGCACTGAGGTTGTTGTGGACACCAATAATCAAACCGTATGTTAATCAATCCCAGAGAACTCTTTAATTTCAAATAAAAACCAGAATTTCAAATCTCCAAGTTGAATAATATACTTAATTAGAGGATAATCCCTTCAAGAAAATTGTAAAAAAGACAGTTGGAGACAATAAAATGCGGGGGATATTTTGGCCCAAATGTAATGAGTTGAATAGAAGACTCGAACCATCAAATTTTTTATATACTCCTAATAAAGCAGAATCTTTAGTAGTGACCTTGCACAATGGGCTGCAATAATCAATACAAGCACAAATCCAAATCATGTGTTCTATACAGTGCACACACACATGCTTGTGCGCAGGCATGCACACACACAAATTGGTGTTCCAGATAACAACACAGAATATATAAAATAATATGAAAGAAGTTCATGCAAGGGCCAAGACTAACATATATTAACAAATGAAAACTCAGAAAGGAATCTTATTAAGTAGCTGGAGCAGGATCATTGTGAACAAACATTCACAAATACTTATAGCAGGAACAACTCAGTCTCATCTACTTACAGAGAAGGAATAAGCTTGATTAAAGTAAAAATAACGTGCAAGAGATTTGCAGAAATTGTTGAGAGGTGATACAAGATGAATAATCATATATAATCTAATATGTATATATTATATATATAATATAATATAATTTAATATATATACACATATACATATTTGTTCCACCTCTTTGATTAGTCAAAGAGTCAATATATATATATACACATATACATATATTGCTCACACTCTTGTATTAGTCAAAGAGTCCAATTATGGAAATCAATTAGCTAGTAAAAAAGGTTGGCATAAATTTGAAATCTATAGATCAAAAAAATTTTATGTATGGTTTAAAATGGCATATGCTATCCAATTTTGACCTTTTTTTTTTGGTAAAAGGAGCATACCTTCAATCTTGAAATAATGTTTTCCAGTTCTTTGCATCTCCTCCTTTCTTTCTGATAGCTCACTTTCAAGTCGTCTAATGTACTAATCCCGTCCATATTTTCACAAAGTTCATTTTTTGATATTTTACTAGAATGGCCATTAGAAGGCAGATATCCATTCTTAACCCCAGCTTGAGAAGTGTGAGATGCAAGGACACCTTTAGACTGTATGTCCTCAGTGTTGACACCAGATGTTCTCATCTTTGCAACCAGAACCCACATATTTGCAAGCTCATTTTCCAAATCCTCTTCATGCTGTTTTGCTTCATCAAGTCTTCCTCGTAGCTCACATTCTATTTTCTCTCTCTCTGATAATGCAGCTGCCAATGCAGCTTCTCTTTGGTATCTCACGTTGAGTTCCTTCTGTAAGTCCTCAACAGAAAGACTATCCTCTTGTCTTCTAGCATGACTACCAGATCGATTGCTACTGGAGTTCTTCTGCTTGGAATCATATGAAACCGACTTCTGACTACAATTAGATCTGCAATGCGCATCTTTTGCACCAGCCAGATCATCAGTCAGCTTTGCATTTTCATAAGAAAGCTTGGTAACTTCTTCAGCCAAGTTTCGGAGCTCAACTGCTGCAGCTGAAGCCAGTTCTTTGGCATATGTAGCTTCTTCTGCCAGTTTTTGACTTCGAATTTCAAGTCCATCCTTTTCTTCAATCAACTTCACCTTCTCCTGCTTCAGATTCTCTATCTCGGCAGCCTAAAGAAAATATAAATTGAATAAAGCCATCAAAACCAGTTAAAACCACAAAAAGAAAAAGAAAATAAGAAGCCACAGGCTGGCATGAAAGACAAAGAAAACATTTTGAGCATCTATGGAAAAAGATGTCAGGAAATAGAGATGAAAATCGACCTGTGTAAGGACTTGAAAATTCAAAGCTGCATTCCCATTGCATTCTTTGGGGTCCTCCTGGGAAAATATTCTATTCAAGCTCATCACACTTTTTGGTGTATTTTCATCGACAAAGGTTTCTTCACATGGCCAAAGGTCGTTTCTCTCATCTTTGTTCTTTCTCTGTGCCTCTTCAGAACCCATTTTGAGTGTATTACACTCAGATTCTGCACTTTGTTGTTGACTGCTACCCAATAATGAATTAAGCTGCTGTCTCAGAAGAAGAATTGTCTCTTGCATCTCAGTGTTTTCTGCTATCTGATTCAGAAAACATATATTTAAATAACTACCTACATGAAAAGCATTTTTTAGCAAGGAGAGATCATGCAGTTCTAGATTCTACCTTCATCTGTAGTTGCTCTTGAAGTATCCTGTTATCTGCTGACTTGATCTTCAATGACCAGCGCACAATAAAGCAATCAAATTAGTAAGAACATTTTAGACTTCGATATTGAAAATAATTCTCATTGCTACAAAAGAAAGAGGAAAACAAACCTCGAGTTCAAAAGTTTTTTCATTCAGCTGAGTAGTGAGCTTGGATAGAGCCTACATGAGGGTAACATGTAAGATGATAAAAGTTATTCGTTCAGGATATTCCAATCAGTATATAGTACTACAATCTATTATTTTCCAGAGATTCAAAACAAAAATTTGCTCCTAAAGTTAATGTACTGCAGAGAATTTGAATAAGATTTGGAATCCAAAGATATGAATTGGATATTTTAGTTACAATTTGTGCAAGTAAAGGTTCTCTAATGGCAAGGAGGAGAAGAAAAGCCTCAACAACTTTTTACGGGCACAGTAACTGTCTTGGGTATTTTAACCTCATATTTGAATGTATTTATCTATCATTTCCATCCACAAATCTAATCAATCTTATGAATTTTGAATTTTAGATTAAAAAAAATTCACATCAAATCTATGAAGCCAAATTCAAACTTGGGAGAACTTTTAACATGCAATTGAGCAGCATTTTTAGCAAGGGAAACTGAAAATCGACATGATACTGATAGTATTCATTGATTGTCCTTTAGAATTGAGCAAAAGAAAACACTTGTTAATTGCAACAACTTTCATCAACAATAAACATATCCAATAGAAAATGTATAATTTCATCAAATTTACAGAGAACTTGGAGTTTGATCTGGAAGTTCAAGTTAAAAGGACATCCTTTTAGTTTCTTATGATCTCACTTAAACAACCACAAAAAATTTCTTAACACGATTCAATCAACTGCATTAAACTAAAAATTCCCTTTTTGTTTCACTTCCGGATTTGTTTTTTTCACATAATATTTAAGTTTCTCAAATTTCTGCTGAAAACTCTCAAATTTACCTGTGATAATTCAATGGTGCTCGATTTATGTGGAGTCATCTCAACTGATCCAATCATGCGTTGCTCCAAAACACGCATCTGAAGCTTCTTTTCATAAATTTCATCCTTTAATTTCTGCATTTGTTCCTATGTCAACCAATGAGTTTCCCGTTAAATCAAATCAAATTTAATGTCTTAATACAGTATCGAAGTTATCTATTAACTAAAACCAATAATATTTTTGTGATCTAAGTCAAGACAACGGTGTATCACTTTCAGTTGAGAATCTTCAGGGTTGGTAGCAGCTTGCTCCGACAGTCGTTTCAGAGAACTAGTACACAATGCCACCTCCCCAGCTAACATTTTCATCTGCTCATGAAGCAGATCCATTTGATCTGTGATTGTGGCCCCAGTCTGCACAAAAGAAGGTGACCCATTCTAGTTAACATTTCAACTGCATTAAACATATAGAGAAGCAACTATATTTACTTATTCCTAAAGAGTTAAGATACTGAAGCAAATAATTGCCAAGTTTTAGCTACTTAACAGTTGAGAAGTTTTAGTGTACCCATTTGCCTGCAAAACCCATGAGGATAGCAGAAATATAATTTGCATCTACTGTCAATGGCCCAAATACATGAAAATTAAAAACCAACATAACTTTGGAGGCCACAAATAAACCAGAATTGTAATATCCCCAACTAGAACAGGTATGGAAAAATAAATAAATATTAACAAGAAAAGAAAAGAAATCACCAAAATCTAGTTAAAACCTATGTAAAATTCAAATCTTAATGCTCTCTGAGATTCTTGAACTATAAGCTCATGCCAAAAGTTTGACTTTCTAGGCCATGACTAAGCCTTAGTGAATCATAAAATATATAAATCAGCTTGTATACCAAAATGTTTAAGCATTTCTAAAACAATGGTTTTAGTTCCTCTCACCGGAGGCAATCGTCGACCTCCAACAGTGGCACTAAACAAGTCACCTGCTTGGGTTCTTTCCGGAAATGAGTCTATGAGCAAAGAATCGTCTCTTCTACTGATTGATCTTCTCTGCCCATCTTTCACATCACTAAACATGACTCTATTTTGTGATGATTTAGAACAAGATGCTGGCGACCCACTCGTAGAGCTCTCACTATCAGCACTTGGGGACGACCTAAGCAGATTTTCAGGCTTCTGTACAGGAGGTTCAGAAGAAAGCCTCATTAAATTAATAGTGCCGAATGTTTTTAATTCAGAATCAATGCCAGGATTTTCTAACAATATATAAACGAAAAATATAATGAACAAATACTGCTTTTCTAAGAACGAGGAGATAAAAAGAAAGTAAATGCTGCTTGGTACACTTAATGGATGGAAATGAAAAACAGAAAGGAAATGTAGCTTGAGGAAACTTGAAAATGCGAACCATACATATGCAAAAGGGGACCTGGGTATATGACTTACTCTTACTTTAAACCAGCCAAGCATCCCACGTCTCTTGTTCCTTTTGTAATCATTCACCAACTCATCTAGATTGGTGATGCCATCTCCTTTGTCAGCTGAAAGCTCAGAAGCATAGCTTCCAGCACCTTCTTCGATTACGTATTCTCGTTTCCTATCTGGTAAATATGCTAGCTGCATCAACAACAGAACCAAGCATGAATCCTTACAGAAACTCAACTCCACTGGTAAACACCAAGAAATTTTTTTTTCATGCAAACTAAACTTAAATAAATGAATTACAAACCTCGTCTTCCCCAAAAGAATGCCTTCGCCTATGACCAGGCCTTTCAGGAAGAGTTGATTGCATGGAATTCTTAGTGGAGACTAAGATAAGTTTGGTCAAACGCTGAATTCTTCCCATTAAAGCTGCCTTAGCTTGCTCCTCTTCTTCTAATCTTGACTGTAATTTGACTTGGCCAGCTTCCAGCTTTGACACCAGAAGAAAGTAGATGTTAGAAAGTGAAAAATAATACAAAAAAACAGAATCCAGATGACAATTAGTTACTACATCAAGTGAAATTATTATGGGGCCCAAAAAATCATTGGAAATATAGGATCATAAAAAATCCTGAACAGTTCATGTAGTTTAAATTTAAACTTTAAATTTCAAATCATATTTGATTACAACTCTGCAGTTGTGGCGTGCAAACCTCAAAACTTGAACTACGTCAATTCAAGCCATCAAAGTCAATATAAAATTTCAATTGCAACGTTGCATGGACGTAAAATTTCAATTAGAACATCGCACTGACCAATCACCATTAAGTGTAACTGGAAGTATTTCAAAATTACACGTCTTTTTGTTCAGAAATAGCTACAACAGTACCATATTTGGCAGTTCTTTTGGTGCATAAGTTAAAAAAGGTAAATATGCCAATATAACTTTTCCATTTTTAAACATTTTTGTATTGATGTATAGCCATAAAATTAATATCAAGCAAGATCCATCTTGTAAATTAACTTCCATATAATATATACCATTAACTGAATCAAATTACTTTCTTCATAGAAACCATAATAATTACACCAATAGCTACACCAATGTGATTCAAACAAAACTTTATCTAACCATAACCAAATTAGCACAACCATTTAATTATTTCCGTTCAAAACAAATTCAATTTTACACTAAAATCAAGTGATACAAATTAACTCAATATTATATTTTAAAGCCAGTAAATATATAAATAGTTTCTTTGAATGACATTAGATGAGACAAAATGTAACTAAATATGAAAATTCAGAAAAGCATAAATATTGGAGTTAAATATTAAGCACTTTCAGATTTTGCACGACATATATTGCACGAATCTCAAAGCCTGTGTAAAAATATTGCCTTGCTGCACTATTGTTTAATTTGAAAATTTCTTAATAGTAGGTCATTCACAATGAATTTGTTTCAATTTTTTTTTCAATTATTTCATTACAAACTCATCCAATTTCATAGATTTATGGATGATATTTTTGCGTTCAAAATTACTCATTTAAATTGTAAAACTCTTTTCAATCTTAACTGACACAAACAAAAAGACTTCTAAGGTTAGGATTTCAAATCCTAGATTTAACTCCAAAACTGGTATTTGAAATTTAACTCCAAATCCAAATGCATGAATTAAACAATTTTTGTTTATCAAATTATATTTTTCATCACGTCCTTATAGGGGGAAATGGAATTTAAACATGGGCCACGCAAACTCACTGATGGAAACTAAAGCCTCACTAATGAATGAATTCAAATGCATCCCAATATAAGGTTTAACAGAAAATCCTCCTGATAAGCAATGAATCAATAAGAAAGTATTCCAGGTTAGATGCAAAAACCTGAAGCTTCAAATTAACCAGATCTTCTTGGGTAGATGCAGCAGCTGTATAAGGATTTTCCATCATTCCACGCTTCAATTGCTGAAGTTCTTGCTTCAAGCAGGAAATTTCCTTCTGATACTTTTTTATGAGAGACTTCTCATCCATAATCTAATTGAACAATTTAAAACAAAAAATACTTATGAAAAGGCAAGTCGCAAATTAACAGAAATTCACATAAACATAGAACCTGAGGTTACCTTATTCTGAGAAGCTTTGATCTCTACATGCTTGCTTCTGTGTGCAAACTTCAATGTGTTGTGTGTCTCTTCACTATTGCTAGAGGCAGGTGTCAATGTGCAAATAAGCTACACAAAGTTTTGACAAGGAAACTAACATAAGTGCTACTTCAGTAATAATGAAAACAACAAAAACAAGCTCTAAAAGATTACCACAGCACTTAAGGAGGGGAAAAATTAATAATAAAAATTATTCACAAATATTCATAAGCTTCTTTACAAAAACAAGTAAATTGAGTAGCATAGCACCAAGCATATGAATACCAAGAAATCTGAAGTAGTTCATTCAACTTACAGATATCCGCCCATGACCACTAAGGGATGACTGCAACAAACGTGTGAGCTTTGAATCACGGTATGGAATATGAATTGATTTTCCATCCGTTAGTTTAGAGATCACCTGCAAGGATATGCAGCAAGAAGTCAAAGATCCAAATTTTTATTATCAGACTAGCAACCGTAAGGAACAGTCTCAACTTTCAAGCAAGAGGTATGCCAAAGATCTCCACCTCTACAGGAAGTCATTCTCCAAACATGGAATCAAGAAATCCTCAATTTCATGCCCTAACATGGTTTAAAAGTCTGGAAAAGGTTATACTAACTGGTATGAAAAGCCCAAGCCCAAACCATTCAAAGCATATTCCAGAAGGAATAGAGGAAATACAGAGACAGGCAATAAATTAGCAAAAAAAAAAAAAAAGAGTGATACAGGGGATACAAGACACCAGCAATGGAGAAGAGACATGTGGGCATACTTAGTTATAACACTTGAGGCACTGGGCATATAGAGGGGTGGAGAATAATATGCAGGGTATGCTTTTGCAGTATCAACCTTTTTAGGGCAGAATCTTCTGCATGGGAATCATAATTCCTGGGGATTGTTTATCGACCATTTTTTCTCTCTTTTCTTTTCTTCGTTCTATGATGGTAAAGTGGAAGGAAGTAATTAACTTGTATGCTGAATGAGCTATCCATTTTGAATCACTGAATCAAAATAGATTTCCAGCAACCTTTCCTCCGTTATCTTCTTCTCCTGTTATTTTCTTTTTCTTTGAATTTGAAATTGATTTTTTTTTTTTTTTTTGAAAGCAAATAAGAGCATATATTTATATTAACTTGTCTATTGCTGAATGAGCTAAATCCATTTTGTGAATTCAACTGAATCAAATACGAATTTCCGCCTTTCCGTATTATCTTTTCATTTCCTCTCTTTTCTCTTTATGCTAGTGGACATTTTCAAGTGTGTGATTATCTCTTATTTTTTCTCACTCATTTATTTCCGACTCTAAAGGGACTATCAAAAGGCAGCTGTGTATATATTATCCAATGGAATGTTCCGTGAGAAAATGGAACGATTTGCCAGCGGGTCGTTTACAAGATTACTCGCATATCAGTTCCCAAAGCACGGGGAACTTAACAAGGACTGTAAACACATAGCCCACACGAGGCGCAAGATCGCATGTTGGCAGGCTTGTTACACTTATTGAATATGAACAGTTAGCTCTTGTTCCTTGTGTGAGTAACACTACTCAGTATTTCCTTAGTTTCACGAATGATTCTTTTCGACGAATCGAGTTCACTCATACCAATGCAGTGTGTATTACCAGCAGCAACAGCAGTAAATCCTGCATTGGCTATTTTCTAAACCATACAGTTAATCTATCTAAAATAATAACACTTCACTGGACGAGCACAGTTCCCTTCGCATGAATTGAGTTGCATACAACTGCCAAAGCAAAATTCTTAAAGGCTATATTGGGTAATCTTCCATGTTACACATTAAAATAAAAATAAAAAAGACAGACTAAGCAGAGCAACATCCTTACGTCGCAAGATAAGTAAGCTTTTATTTCATCGTATGAACCCCTCTTTTCTCGCCAATCCGTTGTTTTCATTTTAGAACTTTCAGGAACCCAGGCAAGGATCAATTAAAGTCTCTGCAGAGAAGTTTAAGTTGTATAGAGGTGATTTTTTTTTTTTTTTTTTGAAAGCAAATAAGAGCATATATTTATAATGAATCCCGAGAAATAAGATTTGCAATACAATGGGGAGTCGAGTCCCAAAGACGGAAACAAGGATGTAAACATGCCACACGAGCAAGAGCATGTGCAGGCTTGTTAACTTTTGAATTTGAAATTGATTGTTCCTTTATCTACACTAACTCAGTTCTAGTGTCACAATGATTTTGGTGTTCATCATAAATGATTACCAGCAGCACAGAGTAAATCATGCATGCTATTTTAACCATAGTTTTTAATCTTAAAATAATAAATCATGGATAAACAGTTCCTCATGAATGAGTTGTCATACAACTTGCCAAAGCAAAATCCTTTAAAAGCTTAATATTGGCTAAATCTCCATGTTACACATAAAAATAAAAATAAAAAAGACAGATAAGCAGAGCAACATCTTACTGTGCCAAGAGTAAGTAAGCTTTTATTTATGTATGAACCCTCTTTTCTCCGCAATCCAGTTGTTTCAGTTTTAGAACTTTCAGACCCAGCAAGATCAATTAAGTTCTGCAGAGAAGTTTAAGTTGTATAGAGTGATCAGCACTGGATGGTAACAAAACAACAAATAATCAGACTTAACAGAACCAGAAAACAGGAATTACCAACTGAGATAAAGTCACGTCTTCTTCCATTTCATCTTCTCCATGAGGACTACTTTCAATAGTCTGAAACACAATATTACATTTACATGAAGCAAAAGTTGACAAAAGAAAAAAAGACATTCCAAGCAATCCAAATTGGTCAAGCACAACTCTCAATTATATTAAATGTGGTCACATGTCCAGCTTTCTGAGTTTAGTTCAAGTTTCAAAAGATATTATCATACAGAAACAGAATTATAAACATTTCAAATCTCCATATACTGAAAATAAAACGAGACATACCAATGTAAATATAGTGTGGCTCCGGCTGCTTAGAAGATTGAAATTATTAGAACCCACATGCCTGTGCTCTGCAACAACATCAGAACTACACGTTAATAGTGCACAACTACAAAAAGAAGAAGGATATGGGAACATGCATTGATCTCGGTGTAACAATGTCTAATATCGCTTGGTTTCAGGACTACAACTCAATATGCAACAAATGCACAAGGATACTCTTCGAGAAAGGCAGAAGATGAAGTGTGTTAAATGAAACTGGAGAAAGTGAAAGATAGCAGCTAATACACAATTATGTAAACGCATTGGAGGCTATATACCTTCTCCAGATGCTATCAAAGAAAGAGCATGTGCAGGTGACAAAACAACTTCCTCTTTGATTCCCTCAACATAAGTTCCCTGCCAGTTTATTAACAAGCACATTCAGATAACAAACTGTCTATACTAGGCAGCTCAAGCAGACTTTGTCTGGCACAAAATAGAAAGTAGAACAGGTTCCATGTTACAAGTTGCAGCAGCACAGCCACAACGCATGAAATTGAATGTTTTAGTATTCAGAAAAACTTGAAAATAAACACCTGTGAATCCTCTCGTATTCTTAGGTTTTGCCCTGTTGGATCAAGCAAATCATTGATGACCTAGTGAAGAAACAGAAAAAGAAAAAGAAAAAAGAAAAACAATTAACCGAAGGCACAAATCAGACACACACACACACACAAAAAAAAAAATTCCATTTACATTGCACCTTCGGATATATATTTCAATAAGATAGTTGAAAGGAAAAAGAAGAATTATTTGGCTAAGTTAAGAACATTGACACCATTTACATAGGTAAGATGCACTAACCATATATACTGAAAGCAAACAGAATAAGTCACAGAAAATTGTGACTCGTAACTTTATTTCAATAGGCAGAATATAGTGATTGGCTATGGTTAAGAGTTCTACTGACACATGGAAGGATAGCACAATACCATGAAACAAAGCAACTGAAAGAGTTGAGGAGTACCATAATAGAAAGCCAGAAGTAGTTTTGCAAGCAGTTTCATGAATACAAAAATTTGAAAACTAAATTGAAAGTGACCTAAAAATTAAAGATACAAAAGCAAGCATCTTTCTCTCTTTTTTTAAAAAATAATTTTTAATAGTGATACAGAGAGAAGTGTCCTGTTAATGCAAAAGATAAGGTTCCCTCCCTCCAAGTAGACAAACAAACTAGTAAAGAGTAAAAAATTACTTTAATGAGAAGAAACTCATTCAACCCTCCAACCTCTCAAAACTCTTCTAAACAATGGAACTCCAAAAAGATGCACTAATCATTAACGAGAACTTCTCAATAAGTTTTAGTACTTTCTTAAATCAAACATTTAGCTAAATTAACAAATTAGAAAGGATCCCAAAAGTGTTGACTTCTAAAGAAATTGAAGGTTTTTTTTTCATGCTCCTTATGTACATGTTTTGTAGGAATAATATAAGGCTTGGAAGTCCATAAAGGTCATAGAAAGTGTGACTAACCTCATTATAGATTTCTAAATATGAAACACGAAGAAGAAATTCCCGCCCAGGTGTCTGAAATATTGCTCCGTAGGTTAGTCATTATTTGTTGACAAAATATTAGTTTAATTTACAATCATAACAGGCAAACCACTATGCTACCTCTTGTATAATTCCAAAAACATCTTTCACTGCCAATGGAATAATTCCAGGTGACTTTTGTTCTCCCTGAGAGACAGGAAAAAAAAAGGTTCAAGCTTGCACAAATATTGAGAAATAATTGCAAACAAACAATGTGCACAAAAATGCTGGCTTAAATAGGGCCGCAAATGAGCCAAGCAGCTCACTAGCTACTCAGAGCTCTGTCGATAAAAGCTTCAGTTTGACTTTGTAGCGTTCAATAAACAAGTCAGTTCAATAAACAAGTCAAGCTTGAGCTTACAGATATTTGGCTTGTTGAATCTCGCAAGCCACTTCGTTTTGGAGTTCATGAGCTGGCTCATTTTGTATGCTCATAAATAAGCTTATATTGTTGTGAGATCCCATTCCATAATATTGGGGCAAAAAATGGTTGCAATTTCCAAAAAAGTTATTCCCACTTGATAACTTACATGCATTGTGTGAGTCTTCCCACTACTAGTAACACCATATGCAAACACGGTACCTACATTACAAAACTAACATTAATAAAGAGGAATTATTGCACATGAGAACATTATAATTTAATATTAGATGCAAACTTGGAAATACTGAATATCCACTTTATCCTTTATTTCAATTACCAAAAGCAACAAGCCATTGTAAATCAAGCAACGAAAACTGAGCATATAATGCAATATGACAAGTGATACCCAGTACCATTTCCATATTTCCCTGTCTATATTGAAATAAAATTCAAAGGAAAATAGCAAAAACATGGAAGGAATATTCCATCTGCATATGAATAAATATATGTCATCATAATAAGTTACTCCTTTCAACTGCCAGCTGAAGTTTAAAAGTTGTTTAAGGATGAATAGTTCGAGAGTATTCCTTCACGGTACACATAAAGTTCAATGTTGGATAAAAAATTGCAATTACCATTGATCCCTTGCATGGCACCACTAACAACATGCTGGGCAGCTACATCATAAACATGGCGAGTTGTTGTTGCAGGACCAAACACTCTGTCTGCAGAGACAAAGTGCAATTCTGGTGAGCAAATAGATAATCATACTCAATATATACCAAACTTGAAACAAAAATAAAAAAGGAGTTCTTCTTTTGAACATAGGACATGACCTACAATTATGGTCATGTGCGTAATACTTAATAATTTGATGGGAAATCAAATTGGTTGATTTCCATGCACTTTACTCAATATTATATGGTATCTATCAAATTTTATCAATAGCTATAAGTACACAATCCAGTAAATAAACATCAAATACTACTCTTCATTGGTTTTACTCATAAAGCTACTAGAAATACTTATGAGAGGGCCAAAGAATTAGTTTCGGAAAAAATGTAATAATTTAGATATAAGGCATTGGCTGTAGAGTTATATTAACATTGTAATTCAGAAGAAGGTTTAAAAAATATAAACTCCAATTTTAATACTTTTCTCTGCCATTCTTCTAAAAATGCAGTTCGAAGATAACCTTCTCTTTCTTTCTCCCCCTCCCCCAACAGACGGGGGCAAAATGCCTAGAAAGTAAGCAATTTCATGAAGCAACCAGCTCAACCTTCCATTGGCGGTTGGGGTTCCTAAAAGACCATTACAAAGAAAATTTATTTCTAAAAGAAAGCAAGCCAAAACCATAGCCAAACACTATATTCTGTGTAACTTACTAAATTGCAGTACATTGGAAGGGTTAAAAAAATAGTGCTAACCAAAACCATAAGCAATTGAAGCATTGTACTCGTTCCTCACTGTATAATCCCCATCTGCATACCAAGCTATCTCGTCCCCTTTATTGATCTCCCTAGCACTGCCCGAACACACACACACACACACACACAAACACCAATCAGTCCACCAACAGTCAACGAAATCAAAAAGTCAAACAAACAACGCTAAATACAACATACATTATACAAAATACCTGAGAGGACGGAACCTAACAGCGACCGTCACATTCTCCTTGGCCTTACTAGTTTCAGGCCGGTCAAGGACCTGGACCGTGGGGCTTGAACTTGAGCTGCTAGGAGTGGCTGAGAGCCTGGAGGGAGGCCTAGATGACGTCGTCGAGGAATGAGTTACCGACCCTCCGGTGGATTTCGACGGCGGAGGCTGGGCAGGCGACTTGCGGGAACGGAAGGGCGAGATGGCCGAAGATCTGTGGGACCTACTGGAAGTAGAAAACATGGAGGAAGCTGAAGAAAACAAGAGAGGGAGAGAAGTTGTTGTAGGTTAGAGAGACGGAGGAATGAAGTGAAAGTGAGTCACATGGCCGGCCAGGGTCAAGGGCAGAGCAGGACAGTACAGGGGTTGTTTTTTTGTAATTGTATGTGCCGCCTTTTGGACTTTGTTTGGCGCCCTCTCTCAAACGGAGGCTCTTTGGTTTTAAGTATTACTGTATTAGAAGAATTGATAGTCACTAGTGTTTAGAAATTGCAGTGAGACAAAAAGTTTGGGGTGTTTTTTTGTTTGTAGAAAACGGCAAATTTGAATGGACCCCGTTGAAGGAGACTTCGCTGCCTAATATTTTTGGTTTGAGCTGAATTGACCACTGCCTAGATATTGTTTTTTTTTTTTTTTTTTTTTTAAGCCGACTTGCGGGAACGGAAGGAGGCGAGATGGCCGATAATCTGTGGACCTACTGGAGAGTTAGAAAACATGGAGGAAGCTGAAGAAAACAAGTAAGAGGGAGAGAGTTGTTGTAGGGGGGGTTAGAGAGAACGGAGGAATGAAGCGTGAAAAGTGAGTCACATGGCCCGGCCAGGGTCAAGGGCAAGAGCAGAGACAGTAAAACAGGGTTATTTTTTTTGTAATTGTAATGCTCCGCCTTTTGACTTTGGTTTGGCGACCCTCCTCTCAAACGGAAGCTCTTTGGTTTAAGTATTACTGTATTGAAGAATTGATAGTCACTGCTGTGTTTGAAATTGCAGTGAGACAAAAGAGTTTGGGGTGGTTTTTTTGTTTGTAAGAAAACGGCAAATTTGATGGACCCCGTTGAAAGGAGACATTCGCCTGCCTAATATTTTTGGTTTGAGCTGAATTGACCACTGCCCTAGATTATTGTTTTTTTTTTTTTTTTTTTTTTTTTTCTTTTTACAGAAACGGCTACTTAGACGTTGTTGAGTAAATGTTTACGGAGTAAAAAAAAGAAATCACGATTACTATAATAGCCGTTTAGATTAATAAAATGTGAAATTTACAGAATGTAAAATCTATAGATTATAAGATTAAGAATTAATTATTAGTAAAATAAATAATTAAATTTTATTATTAATAAAAAATAAAAAAATTAAAAGCCTCACAGTTAAGATCGAAATTCTATTTTTTACAAAATAGTTGAATTAAAATTATGATGAAATTTATCTATTTTGTGAATTAAGATTAGTTAGCCTTTTTATTTATATGAGGAGTGGAATGTATCGAGTTCAAGTTCTTCCAGATACAGTTATTTTCACTAATTTAGTGAGCCAAATCCACAGTGATATTTCACCTCATGAAAACCTCCAATTAATTAAAAATAAAATGATAAATCCATAAAATGCCACTCAAAATGTATAAAAAATTTTGATAAATCTGTAAAAGCCACTAGAAATTGTTGGTGGAAATTATTGATTCAAGATAAGGAATTCAATTTTATTATTTTGTTTTCAATTATATTTGGAGGATGAATGAATGCATATTTTACTATACATGCTACTTTATTTATTTAATTTGATATGTAATAAATATTGGTGTAAGTAATTAATTATTGCCTTGGTATATTATATACTTATGTTTGGAAATTTTAATGATTGGATTTTATTTGAGTCAAATGCATAAAATTACTCTATATTTTACATAAAAAGTTTAATATTTTAACTTATAAAATTTTACCTATCAAATATTACAATTTGTAAAATTATTTTGTTAAATACTTTAAATTATAAAATTAGATTGATTAAATATTTATTATATAATTGAGAATATAAAATTATTATTATAAAAATTATATTAACTATATATCTAATTAATTTTTTATATATAAAAGACCAAATAAAAAGAACTATAGTTGTTAATATGAAAATGTGTATAATATTTCTAAATTTTATAATTTTTAGGCACAATAATTTTTTTAAGGGCAGGGTGAACTTACGTATTTCTAAATTTAAGGTGCCACGTAATTTTTTTAGGGAAAGTGCAGGGTGAACTTACATATTTAGCCATTACATTTTCATTTTTTTAATATTATATATACTGGATTTTTAATTATGTTTTAGCGATGCTTTCATTAGTTAATTTTAGCATATGACGTAAGTCATTTCTCACGTCTTGGGTCATGTCAGCCCATGGTCAGCAGATTCAGATTCCAAATAGCCCAATTATAATAACCATGGGCTGCCCAAAACTATTGAACAATAACAAAAGCCCGCATCCTGCTTTCCAAACCTGCCTTAAAATCTGCTTGGCGCCATCGTCAAAACCTCGCATCAGCCAAAACCTCTTTTTTGTACAGTACACACTCTTACTTCATAGCTCTTCAAAGCGAAGTACAATACAGCACGGAGAAACTGAGTCGAGTCGCGAGTCACGAGCCGCGTAGATAGAGAGTGAAAGAGATGAATGAGAAAGAATCTTTTATGGACATCGACGGAGACGAGAACGAAGACCAGAAACAGAACGACTCGTACGAAACAAACAAGGGCAAAAATGTCGTTGTAGCCGGCACTCCTCCCGATATTAAAGCCGTTCCTTGGGTGGAGAAGTATCGGCCTCAGTCACTTGCGGATGTCGCTGCTCATCGCGACATTGTTGATACCAGTAAGTATCCTGAGCTTTTTCCCTTTAGGGTTTTCACTGCATGTGTGCTTATACATAGGCGTTTAGCAATTTAATTTGATGGTTCAATTAGTTAATAGGAAGTAGCAGGAGTAGAGATTAGAAGAATTCGAACTGGTTTTTGAAAATTCGTTTTTTTATTTTTTTCAATTTTGTCCATCTTTTAGTTTCTTCTTCCCCTCCTTTTTGTATAGTCATTGAGCGGTCATGTATTTATGGATTTTTTTTCTTAATCCTGGATAAAGTTTCTATGTTTACATTTTTTTTGACTGTTTTATTTTGGTATTCTTTGTCATTTTATTTTGGTTCGATTATAATTGAGAAACAGTAAACAAACAATTGTACTTTGTATTATGATATTCCAAGCAAGATCAGTTCGGCAACTTCTGGTTTGTACTTTGTATTATGATATATCCATAGTAACGCTACACTTTTTGGTTTGCTTGGCTGGAATAGTCGATAGGCTCACCAGTGAAAATAGACTGCCCCATCTCCTGCTATATGGTCCTCCTGGCACTGGAAAAACTTCGACTATTCTTGCTGTGGCGCGTAAACTGTATGGAGCACAGTACCACAATATGATTTTGGAGCTGAATGCATCAGATGACAGGGGAATTGGTGTGGTGCGACAGCAGATACAAGATTTTGCTAGCACTCAGAGCTTCTCTTTCAGGTAATCTCATGTACATGGAATTTCGGACAATTAGTATCTTCATGCTTTCTGAATGTTGTTCCAGATACTTGTTAGAGGATCGTTTTTGACGTTCTTCTTTTCCTTTAGCATAATAGTGGGTTTTGAGTGATCAGCAAGCTCTGAATATGTTTCAAATAGACCTTAATATTGGGAAATTTCTGTCCAGTAATGGTAATGGACTTTGGCTAAAAGTTGCATATTTCATTTGTCCCTTTGGATGTTAAGCCATACTTTAAATGACATATAGGTCAATTTTTTTTGTTTCACCTGAAAATTGATGCCATCTATACATTCCGTTCCAAAAATCACATGATTTAATGGTAGTTTAGAGGTTACACTCTCCAGTCAATTCATCTCTATACACTTGCTTGCCTTCAGTCAAAACCCACATCTGCTATTGATTTTGCTTCGATTTTCTTAATACATCATAAAACTTTGTGCTGCTGGTCTCTAGTTACTTTAGGAGTAATCTTTGTATGCGGAGGAACATTTATTATATTGTTGTTGTTGCTTCTCTACAAGGTGTCCTTTTTGAAGCCTGAAAATTTCAGAAAAATACATCAAGATATATGTTTTGATACTGATTTTTCACCAATTGAGTTGAATAATATCACTGGTCACATCACAATTAAGTTAAATAATTTTGCTGGTCAGGATGGTTAAGAATGCATTATGATATGTAGTTATATTTGCACTTCTATTCTTATTTGTATGTGATTATATTTGCACTTGTGTTCTTATTCATAGGAAGGTATTTTATTTTTGCTATATTTATTTATTCATTTAGTTTTTTTTTTTTGATTTGTTGGCCCAGGTAAATTTGCTTTTAGGCCTGAAAGTACCCTTTAATGTCTCTTTATCATTATAGCTAATCACCAAAGGGTTTAATACTTGCAGTGCAAAGTCATCTGTAAAGTTGGTCTTACTAGATGAGGCAGATGCCATGACAAAGGATGCACAATTTGCCTTGCGTAGAGGTACCAAGTGTTATTTGTCACTATTCTTTTTTTCCCAGCTCCTAGTTATTTCTTGCAGAATGATGTTTATTTATTCTGTTGATTTGTGGTTTAGTGATTGAGAAATACACGAAGAACACTCGATTTACCCTTATCTGTAATCATGTGAACAAGATTATTCCAGCACTACAGTCTAGATGTACTCGGTTTCGATTTGCTCCTCTTGATCCAATACATGTTTCTGAACGACTAAAACATGTTATAAAATCTGAAGGGTAAGGGGTGCTGTTTCTTCTTTTTTTTTTTTTTTGCTGAACGACTAAAACAGCATTGTTATAAAAAATCTGAGGTAAGGGGTGCTGTTTCTTCTTTTTTTTTTTTTTTTTGGCAGATTTCTATTAGTATATTGTTACTGTCTATATTTTTTTTTTTTTTTTGGCAGATTTCTATTATATATTGTACTGTATAAATTAGATGATGCCTTTGTTTATGCTGGATTCTTACATGTGTATTCATATTTCCAGTATCAATATCATATAAGTTTAAAAGAATTAATGAAGCATCTCTAGTTCATAAACCACTGCAGATGAACATATTCTTTCTCTGCGAAAGCCTTTTACATATATTTTCTTTTTATTTCAAAAAAAAAAAAAAAGAGATGTTTTTGCTCTTGTGAAGTTTTTCTTTAAAAAATGAAGGGTGCATAAGTAAAGTTTTCATGGGACTTGACTGGGGGATGGGAGAAACATGGGGAACTTACTTCTGTGGAATCAAACTGGGTTCCCCTTTTGGGGCCTCTTGCTTTGAACCAGTTTGAAGAGTCAAGATGAACAATGGAGGAGTTCCTTCGAGTTTATGCAGAAGAAAAATACTAACTTGCCAGAAGTAGTAACCATTTTGATCTGGCCTAATTGTTTATTATAGATTATCCATTAATGCCTAATAACTCCATTTTCCTCTTTGAATTAGGCTTGATGTTACTGAGAGTGGCTTAGCAGCACTTGTGCGACTTTGCAATGGCGATATGAGGAAGGCTTTGAACATATTGCAGGTTCTAAGATTATTTAATCGTTTATGTATATAAGCACAGATCGTTTGGTGGTATTGTGTATAGAAATAGTGTACACTTTCACAGTACCATCATGGTGCAATCTACCAAATGATCGCTCTGATGTCAATATTTCTGATTTTGGCAAATTGATGGCAGTGTGTAAGTAGAAAAATCTCTATTTCTTCATCAATACCTTTGCTGAATGTAGTTTGGTGTTAATACATGCAAATATCAGTTTGTTATGGTGTTTTGCACGGCTGGGTGCTAAATAGTGAAGAAATTTCTTCCCTAGTTCTCCTCTTATCCTCTTTTTTCTCTCCATATATGCTAGCATAACTAGGCATTAAATGGGATATGCACTGTTTTCAAAAGAAAAGAAAAGAGAATATAATCCTTGATGCCAATTACATTATGGTTCCTGTTTGCCCTGTCGTGTTAATGAATCCAAAGTGACACCTTATTCCCTTTTTCTGATGTATGCAGTCAACACACATGGCTTCTGAGCAAATCACGGAAGAAGCTGTATACCTGTGCACTGGAAATCCATTGCCCAGAGACATTGAGCAAATATCTTACTGGCTTCTAAATGAATCATTTGCTGAAACTTTAAAACGTATTGAACTATCTATTCTATAATGCCATTGTTTCATATAGTTATGAGCTGATTTTGATTTATTTCTATTATTTATTTTCTGTACTAAATGCTCTATAGGAATTTCTGAAATCAAGACAAAGAAAGGATTGGCATTAGTAGATATTGTGAGAGAAGTGACTATGTAAGTGTCTAAGTATTTTTGGGTATAAACTTCTAGGAATTTGCATTGGTTGACATGTTTTTGCTGGACTTTTCTAACAGGTTCGTTTTTAAGATTAAGATGCCATCAGATGTCAGAGTTCAGTTAATTAATGACATGGCTGACATAGAGTATGTAATCATCTCTTTTTCTTGTATAATTATTATCATGGCTGACAATGTTTCTTTCTCCCAAAAGGTTCTGTAATGAGAAAGACACTTTTGGTGGTGAAGATTTTCTGACGTCTTGCTTGAATTAAGCCGAGGCTTCCTGTAATCTGCAGGTACAGGTTGAGTTTCGGGTGCAATGATAAGTTGCAACTTGGATCGCTAATTTCTTCATTTACACGGGCTCGATCTACACTGGTTGCTGCAGCAAAGTAGTTCACATGTTGCTTCTGCTTGCTACATCACATCCTGCTGATTTCAACTCGAGACAATTAAATTGTTTAATTGAAGTCATCCATGTTTAAGAATGTAAAGTTTCACATGTGCCAGTTAAAGTGCTTTGATGATTGAAGCTTGAATGCTACTTGGCTTTCCTCATATTATATTATATATATATATTATATATATATATATTTTTAATGGTAGTCTTTGCAGCTCATTGGTTGCATTTTTATTATTCTACATTAAAATGTCATGAATTTCCCATCCACTGTGAAAAATTTTCTGCTTTTTCTGTTCAACTTTCACCACCTTCTCTCGTTTTTCTCTCTTAATTCCCCTCGCGTAATGGAAGCGAACTGGGGATTACTATTATCATGCACAGAGAAAATGAACCAGTAAAAATGGCCACTAGGAAATGGACGATTAAATCCTTTTTTATATATATATATTTTTAATGGTAGTCTTGCAGCTCATTGGTTGCATTTTTATTATTCTACATTAAAATGTCATGAATTCCCACTCCACTGGGTGAAAATTTTCTGCTTTCTTCTGTTCACTTTCACCACCTTCTCTCGTTTTTCTCTCTAATTCCCCTCGCGTAATTGGAGAGCGAACTGGGGATTACTATTATCATGCACAGAGAAAATGAACCAGAAAAATGGCCACTCAGGAAATGTGACGATTAAATCCTTTTTTAAAGCTTAAGACAGAAGCTTTTGCTACTGCTGCTGATTTTCATCTCCATTATTTAACATTTCCTAAATTGAAATAAAATGAGTTACGAGCTGTTTGGATTAAGGAATCCTGGACATGGTTGCTTATTTTCGTTTTGAACTTCCAGTCGGACTCGTTGCAGGTTGGTATTTTACGCAACAGTGACTATCTACAAGCATTTTTGGTTTTCAGCATGCGTCAAAAATTATAAAAATGTTTGAAGGAATTCAAAATTTCAAATATCTGCTTTTAATTATACTTGGCATCAATTCTCATATATTCATTACAAGCAGAATTACAGCTTATTCCTACCACGGTACCACCAAAAACGTGCCCTTTAAAGTGGAAAAGCTGATTTAATCATTTTCTCCATACTGCTCTATAATATGACTTAATTGCTAATACCTATAGACTGACCTGTACAGCAACCTTGCAAATAATAACGTTTATATTTTCCTATGCCACGGGCGTGACCCTCACCCTTTTTCACCTCTGCAAATTGATGAACATTTTACAGTTTACATGTCAGGCAGCTTAAGTTTTGTTACTACAAAACTGGACCTTCAAATGATGTAAATACTTACAAGCAAGATAACTTCCTATAATCCCATTGGGTAAATGAGTATTAATGATTCTGTCCTCTTTTTTGCTGACTGCTGTACTTGATTTCTATGCAGTTTCTTGTACAATTACCTTATATCCTTCTTCACAGGCCATCATTCTGATGTCCTGTTGGTCCAGCTAATCTCAATTTCAAGCGTCCTGGAAGAACCATCTTTGTTACTTTCATGATTAAGGCTGAATAATCCGTTGTATACGCCTTCTGTCACAACCTTGTCAATTTGGATAGTTACTTTTCCAAGAGTTGACTGAAAAAAGGAAAAAAGAAAAAAAACCACCTCAGGTCACAGCATTGTCAAGCTATTATACTCCTAAAAAAATTGCTCATTACAATCACCATACGCTGAATAGGCATAGTTCTTAAGATCATCAAGTGATCTTCACAGAACAAAGGCAATGAACAAAAATAACATGATAATTGATAAGCAAGAATTGATGATGAAAATGGTTGAACGAGCATGTCAATCTGCTCAGTTTATGAATTATTGCTAAAAAAAATATAGCTTAAATAGTTAAGTACCTTGCCAAAAGTATTTTTACTTTTGCATATAATGTGAAGTTTTTGTCCTTTTGGTGGCACATCAAAAGCCCATGTGAACCCTTCTTCCCATTCTGGTGAGATACTGTGGCTCACAACCTGATACATATAGCAAATCATTATTATAATATGAAATGCAGCTGCAACTAGATATCAAAAATCGGTATATAAAATCACCACTTGGCATACAAAGTTCCAGTTTCTGGTTCTGGAAACAGAAAATCTTCAATAATTACAAGACCATGCAAAATTTTCCAAGAATTCGGAGTTGTTTATTTACCTTGAAATTTCACCAGTTTGAAGGCATATTAATGTTTTCATCCCATTTGGTGAAAGAGGAGAAGTTCTTAAACTTAAGATATCTATCCCATCAAGAGAGAGAAAAAAGGAAACTATATCTAACTAATCTGTTGGCTCAGACTATTGAAGAGATAAAATAGAAACTATTTGTGATTTCATAATATATAAAACGATACACATAGTGCATCAGTCACCCAGGGGCTCATTTGTACAAATTCCATATGGCATAGCTAGGTGCAGCAGACTTATTAGAAGATACACATTCTTAAGCCTCTCTCATAATCTAGCCTGGCAGGCAATCATTTATTCATTTATATCCTAAGAAATGCTGCAACTAAATGCTGTGGATTTCACTAAAATTGGAAAGATCCTACACCAGCTGCAAAATAAATGGTTTCTTTTTGCAAACAATCGTCGAAAACATCATACCTTGGTCTGCCGGGGAGGACCATTGCCTATCGTTAATCGACAGAAGGCATTAGTGTTTCCCACTGTCTGCTTGAGATTGTTCCCGCGCTTAATGGTAACAGTTAAACACCCCGGTAAGCAGTGCAACAGGAGGTCTGCTTTCTCATGGAAACTTGGTGGGCAGGTCTTCATCAGCATTTGCAGAACAGGAATAGCTTCAGCAGCAACTATTGCTTGAGACTTTGCAACATCAATTGATATGGCTGACCATGACTGTTTTAACAAGAATAAGGTATCCAATACAGATTCTTGCGCCACCTCATTGCCCGACTTGAGTGCATTTATTAAATAGGGGATACACAGGGTAGCTGCTTCAGAAACATGGAGCTTAGGAAAGTTGGTTAAAATGACATTCAATGTTTTCAAGACCTGTACATTGATGGTTGCTGTTGACCACAACTCTCTCTCAAATGCAGCTGCACAACAAAGTGATGACAGGTTTCTATAATTAGATAAAAGTAGGGAGGGAAGCAGAAACATAGTCAATATAACAAATCAAAAGATAATACCATGAATACCGAAAATCAAACTAAGTTTCTACTTTAGATATTATCTGTCATATACCATTTTGACATTATCTGCAGATAACTTTCCCCAAATTTCCTCCAGAATCCTTTAGTTTGTTTTGGGACAGACACTGTGTTTGCCTTTACATGGGCTTATGCTTTTAGAAATCCAGAGGGATCCATTTAAATGTCAGCCAACTTTCACTGTTCTTTTTTCTGTCCTCCATTGTCAACTTTTATTGTTTTTATGTTCTTATCTTTCATTGTCATTTCAATTCTATAGGAGGATTCACTGTCCTCCATGGTGTATACAAATTTATTTCTTCTCAATAAAGTTTCTTATCTTATCAAAAGATTACAGTCTTCCCTCATAACCACAAGCCAAACAAAATGAAAATTTTCCAAGTCAAAATAACACTGAAGAACTATCTGGTTTAAAATAACTCTAAGTTACAGTCAACTGAATCAAGACAGAAAGAACACACCTAAAAACCATCTCTAATGGCGGGGCCTAAACAAGAATGGCTAAAAAGTTGAAATCTTTAGAACTGAAAACCAATGTTGGTAATTACTTTGGAAGTATAATAGCAGCTGAGTTTACATCTTATACGTAAATCTGTCGACTCCTGTCTGCAATAGGTGGATATTTCAAATGGCAGGATATGAACTTGAATGATAATGATAATGTATAAGTTATTAATTGGACGGGTTCATGGATCTAGATGGAGTTATAGTACCTGCTAAAAAATTATTTCTATGCACCCTTAAAATTTCATTGTAACATATTTGCTTCCGATTGTTTACAATTCCATGCAATTTGAACTATAGTTTGAATCCAAATACCTGTATTTGAAATTTTCTAGCCATTTGCAATCTCATACAACTGTAAATATGTAAAATGGAACTGAACTTACCTGTCAAGGATCTGATGAGCTCAGTTGATACATACTCTTGGAGAGTGTGATTAGAAAATAGAAATCTGATCAGCATTGCTGCTTGACCAGCAACATCAGCACTACTAGACATTAACAATTCCTGAACTATTAATATGCCACCTGCTTCTGCAACAGCCCTCCTATTCGTCCGACTATGCATAACAAAATTCTGCAATGCACAAATTGCCACCATTGTCATTTCTTCAGATGGCTGATCTTCAAGCAAGCTCACCAGAACACGGCATGCTGAAACAGAATCAGTGGACCTAGCAAGTCCTTCCTGCTGAGAAAGATCTCCAATAGCTAGAGCAGCAAGTAGCCTGCAGGTGTCTGATCTGGTTTGTGGGTCTAACAGATACTGCGATAAAGGTGCAATAGCATACTTGGAAACCTTCATCTCTCGAACCCTAACATGATTAAATAAAGCTTCAAGTAATCTTCCAGATAACTCTTCACACTGATGAGATCTTAGCAAGTCCAACAAAGCATCTACAGCACCAGCTTCAGCCATTTGCTCTGCACTTGAAGCATCAGTCCTTTCATGAACAATTAAAGCATTAAGAGCCACTTTAATAGTGCTATCAACTGAAGAGTGCAACATTTTGACAAGAACTACCAAGGGAACCTTAAAGTAGTACTCTGTATTGAAATGCAAAATGTTTGATAAAACCAAAGCAGCTGTTTCCCACAGCTCAAGTGGTGGCTCAGGATCATCTTGAATTATAACCTTCGCAATCTCAAAAATACCTCCAGCATCAGCAACAACTTTTGGCCAGCTAGTGGAAATTTTTTCTAGTGCCTTTGTTGCCGTTTGCTGAAGGTTTAGTATTCCAATTCCTGCAAGACGCACAAGTGGTACAACTGCATTTTTTGTTGTGATATCTTGCTGAAAATGTTCTTGTGCAAGAAGATGAGAAAGCAATTCTGTGCCCAGCTGCTGAATGGCTTGAGACGGAGATTCCAGAAATGCAATTAAAGGTTCAATGACTTGGCTAGGGGTCAGTTTCAATGTTACGAGGCTCTGTGGCTTCTCCAAAATATTTACAAGTGCTTGTAATGCACTGTGCTGTCCCCACAAACCAAAATCAGGCCGAAGCAAGACCATAAAAAGGGGTTCTACTATTTTTGCAGCATCTGAGCTTCTAGCAATTGCACCACTATTTGTCAAAATGCGGAACAATTCCGCGATTGCAGAGCATAATGAATCAGGGGCAATAGGGAGTAGCACAAGACATTTATCTATAACACCTGCTTTAACCATATCCAATTTGCGTGGAGCCCGATCCTTCCCCAACTTTATTAAGGCACAGATGCTGCCTTCAATAAGTCGATAATTTGTCCCAGATACTAAGCCAACAAGAAGATCCACAAGAGTATCATAGGCTGCTGCAATCTCCACCAGATTCTCATCATCCAACAGTTTCTGAAAAGCACAAACCCCAGCTTCCGTAACTGAACTCGATTCAGACTGCATAAGAGATACAAGAGGCTGTATGCACTCTGAGGCAATTGGATTTGTTCTGAATTTGGCATTGCTAAACAGAATAAAGCAGAGCTCTGCAGCATCTCTCTTCAATTCCATGGAAGATGCAGAAGAAAATATTTTGTGTAAAGTCTCAAGAGGATTCCCTTCCAAATCAGTGAATAGAGCTGCTTTTGAAGTATTTCCTGAAGTTAGTTTGATCAAGGCAACAAGAGCAGCCTCCTGCTCACTCTCTGACGTGGCATTAAGCATGTCAACCAATGGCTGAACAGCCTGCCAAGCTAATTCAGAGTCTCTGATGTTCCCTGCTTCAAAAAGTTCATGAAGAGCCCTTGCAGCACTAAATCTAGCATCTCTTGACCCCAGATGAAGTACTGCTATGAGTTGATTCGTAGAATTAAGGGACGCTTCATACCGAATGATTTCAGGATTTCTGAACAGGATTCTTAACAGTTCAGAAATAGAGGCCTCAGTAGAGTCCTTAGGACTCAAAGAGAGGTATTTTGATAAAGCATCCAGAGCTCCAGTTTCAGCCATGATTAATTTATTTGGATCACTACCTTTTGCAATACGTGTTAAGAGTTGAACAGAAACTGGAGGGGCACCTGGCCTATCAGGGATAGGTCTCAAGAGATCTACCAGCAAAGGAATAGATTTCCTTGCGGTGGAGCCAACTCTTACTTCTTCAATTTCAAAAAGGCGTTCCAGAATAACTTGAGCAGGATTTTTCACCAGAGAAAATTCTTCTGATAAAGTAACAAGGTTTGGCATATCTGCTTCTGTGTAACCAATTAACGTTATCAATCCAGCAACAGCACCGGAATTTGCGATGGTAAGACTTAGTCCCTTGTTTCCATTGCAAACAATGCTAGCCAATGCTTGAGCAGCAAAATATTTGTCAATCATTTCATCAGATTTTAGCAAATGAGCAAGTGAAGGAATGATCCGCATTGTTGTAGGAGAGAGCACAACAGTTTCATCTTGGAACAAGATAGCCAGGAGCAAGGCACTAATCCATATGCCCTCTGTGTCCTCAAATTCTGCCTGAGAACAAAGAAAAAGTTTTCTTAGCTCAACTACCAAATGTTCTAGGTCAACATGGGTTCCATCATGGAAGCCAAATCAGACAAAAAAAGCAACAACTGCATCGTGTATAAATTTTCCATTTGGCTCCTTAAATCTTGTTAACAAAAAGTATATAAATCCGTCACATTTGAAAGAAAGCAAATTAGGCAATTCTTTGCCCCCTTAAAGTCTGTCGACAATGAACCGAACACTGTTTTTGATGCACGAACGTTCATTTATGTGGTCATAAAATAACTTTATTTAAATAGGCATGCAATACATGAACTAATCAATATCACTACTTCTCATCTTATTAGATAGCAATTCATCACAGCAAAATGAATTATTATAAGTGAGTATAAAAAATTTCATTAGACTGATAGTCATACCTGTGAATTGGATGCATAATTTAAAAGCTTATCAGATAAGGCCTCAAGTACACCAGCTTCCATTACAATGAGCTTGTTCTTATCATGAAATGTTGAAATTATTGATAGCAGCCATATGGCAACAGTACCTCCTAAAACAAGGGAAGGATCAAGAATATCAAATTCATCTCCTTCCTGGAGGGCTGATTTTTCAAAAAATCCTCTTGGAGTTCTGACTTCAATTTCTAAAGATGAACAGCTAGAATTTTGCTTGGCCATATCCACTAAAGCATATATGAGGGGTTTTGAATATCCTGATAAATCAAGTGCTGCCATTGTTTTTCTTTTGTGTTCTTTTGCAGCACATACAAACAAAGCAGTTCCCCCAACTCTCACTTCTAAACTGGAAGAATTCATTATTCTATTAGCAAGAGAACCAATTGATCTTGATCTTGCAATCAACATGTCACCTAGCATAACTGGTTGATCCCTACAAAGCCTAGACAAAATTTCTATTGCCTTATCTTGCAATGGAGGGCGTCCCTCAGTCAAGCAGTATAATAAAGATTCTAAGCTTGAAGGTACTTCAGCAAGTGCGGCCCAAGGAGGGTAAGTATTGTTTGCACCCTCTTTTGTCCTGGCCAAGAGTGCAACTACATCTAAAGCATCTGCAGCATCAGTGCCATTCATATTCATTCCATTCAAGGAATCAAGAATAGCAAGTACTGTAAAACGGCATTGCGCATTTCCCTTAAGCACATCACCCACTGGGAAATGTTTCAGCAATTGATGAAGGGCCCGTGAAGCATTCTTCTTCCCTTCTGAAGTTCCTTCACCAAGGACTCTTGTTAGAGCCGCAACAACATCTTCTGCCAGAGCTTCAGCAGCAATCTGGGGATCAGAGAGAAGATTGGCCAGTGCAGCAACTGCAGTCTCAGCAGCATCAATGGAAGAAGTCTTAGCCAACTTAATTAGAGGTTTCACATCCCCTTCTGCAATATAAGGCATCTTGTTGGTAGTCTTGGTCTTGGTTGGACGAGACAAGGCACTCAATGTTCTAGCCAACTGCGTTGCAACAACTTGAGTATTATTACCAGTCAAAAGCTTCATGCAAGGATGGACAATTTCATCAGCTGCAAGACTATCACATATATCCTGCCTTGTGTTGAATAGATCAGCAAGAACAGAAGCCGCATACTCTTGGGTTTCTTCATTAGAGGAGTTAAGAACCTGGATAAGAGATTTTAATGCTTTATTAGCAGCAGATCCCCTTTGCACAATGTCCTGGAGTGATGCCATTGTAAGTACATGACCCAAAACTTTTATTATATGTGCCTTCGAGCCAGAAGAGTCCATAAGGAGAAGAGCTAATAATTGATTAATTGTGGCAGAATCAGCTGTTCGGACAAGCTTCTTAAGTGCCTTAGCTGAGGCTTCTTGACCTTTTTGTCCACCACATTTTAGAAGCCATAAGAATGCTGGGACGGCTCCTGCACTCTCAACACAAGCCCGAATATCTTCACTGTGACAGCACAAGTTCCATAGAATATGTGCCGCATCCTCCTTTGCCTTCTGAGAACCTGTCTCCAATAATTGCACCAGCGGAGGAATCCCACCTGCAGCAGTTATGGCCCACTTGCTATCATCAACTTGGTCAGTCAAGATTGCTAGCAACCGAACGGCATACTCTTGATGCTGCTCACTGGACAAACCTAATAATGATATGAGTAATTGAATTCCTTCTCTCTTGCCAATGGCCTCCCAAATACCAATTCCATCACGGCATAAGCTGGTTAAAGATATTATTAGATACTCCTGTGAATCCCCAAGAGCCATTGTAATAAGACCAATAAGAACCTTCTTCGCTTCAGCGTGATTAAGGGAATTTCCAAGGTGGATGTTGCCATAAAGGCTTGCCATAGCCTCAAGAATACGTTCTTGGATCAACTTAGTATCACGAGGCTTCAAAAGCTTCACTAATATATCCTCTATTTTTGTCGTATCAAAGTATTCTTCATCAGCACCAGAGTCATGTTCAAAGACCATCAAAGCATAGGCGAGTGCTCCAATTATATCAGCAACTGGTGCAGTAAGGCGAGGGGATTGTGATAGTTCTCCAAGATACAGTATTAAAGAAGGCATACCACCATAGATATTTGCTAAAGCTCGAGTTGCATGGCTCTGCAAAGCCTGAGCAGACTCCCCTTGCATGCATTCTTTAGAAGGAGCTACTACAGCCCCAATAAGCACATTAACACCATTTGCATCCATAACAGCTTTTTTAGCTTTTGCTGACTTTGAGGAAACAACCTCCAAAGCATCAGCGGCACTAGCACGGACTGAAACATCATTGTTCTGATCCACAAGCTGAAGCAAAGCTCTTATGGCACCAGAATCAATTACTTTGGGGATACTATCACTGAAAGCCAACATTAGACGGGCCAAAAGAGAAGCTGCATTGGACTGCGCAGCAGCATTATCAGATGACAGAAGACCCACAATGATATCTACTCCTCCAGCCTCAAGTGTTGCTCTCCAATAGTCATCTTTGGCCCCACAAAGGTTTCTCAAGGCCCCAGTAACATACCCCTCTACTACTTTGTCCTGCTTGTTCTGTGGATTGAGCTGATCCCACAAAGTTGGTACTACACCTTCTGTAACAAATATTTTCATACCAACATTATCATCTGAAAGACCCTCTGAAGAAACTTCATAAAGTGCTTCTGCTGCTGCCTTCCTAGCATCAATTGATTCCGACTTTAAAAGCGAGAGTAAAGGTGGGATACACCCACCAAGAAGTACCTTCACTCGTAAGTCATCATCTTTGCATAGAGTACTTAGAGTTCCAGCAACATTAACTTTTGCACCAGGAGTTCCACTCCTGAGAATGGATATGAACAATGGCATTGCTTGCACATGAGAACCAAAGATTGCCCTTGCCTCCTTTTTAGATTTAGCCAGACCAAGTAGACGTGCCGTAATAAGTTCTTTCTCGTGTGGTGAAGATACTTTGGCATGCAGCTTCTCAATAAAGCGAGCAACTGTAGCCACTGTATCATCTGGATCATTCTTCTCTGATGTCCCATTTGATCCCCTGATGTAATCAATGAAGCCGATTGCAAATGATCAGCATTTAAGGAAGAATAAAAGATAATAAATTTAACATCAATTTGTTTCCAGCAACAGGTTAGATAGGTGATGATGTACTTCTGTTAATTATTATCTTGAAATTCAATTCCAGTTGTTTCTGTGGGTCTGCTTTTGTTTTAGTTTTTTATTTTAATATAGGATATGGAAGCTTATTTTGAACTACAGAAAATAATTAATGGGAAAATTACAGTACGATCCTTGAGTTTCTGAAATACAACTAATCCGTCCTTATCTTTCTTAAAATAGATTAGAACATCCTTATATTTTACTTCCGTCAGACTATAAGGTCCTTCTATCCAATTTTTGCGTTTTATCCATTAAATACCTTATGAAATGACGAATATATCCTTTTTATTTTTAAAAACACAGAGACAGACTAATTGTATTTTTCAAACTATAAGAACCGTATTGTAATTTTTTTAGTAAAATATTTTAGTATTTTTTCTTTTGACCTTTGTGTTTTCTTGTTGACTTAACGGAAAAGATACAATAAATGGACAGAAGGATCCAGTAATATAACGGAAGCAAAACATAGGGACAAATTGGTATATTTAAAAAAAAAACAGGGACGGACCAGTTGTATTTCGCAAACCAGGAACCGTACTGTAATTTTCCCATAATTAATTAGTTACCAAAATGTTTGTCAGACAAGCAAATATCCATCTCATCTGAACCAAAAAAAAAAAATTCTAACCTGGACAGGGAAGTACTTGAGGATTCCTCTCGCATATCAAAGGAGGGAGACTTTGACATCTGCACCAAAGCACGACTTTTAGCTCTGTCTAAGATTCTGGGTCCTCAAAGTAATCAGTCAATTTCCAACACAAAAAATTGTCACTCAGTACAGAAAACACAGCTAATGAACTGTTTCAATTTTGTATCCTATAGGCACATGAATCACTGAGTCCTGCTCCTAACATAACAATAAACCTAATTATAAAAAACACCTGCGTAGGACCAACTATGAAAAGAAAAAAAACAGCCAAAAAAAAAAATAAAGAAATAAATCGACTTGCATATTGCTAAATGATGTCATTGACAATCAGATCACAATTAACTAACAAAAACCAATTCTCTAAAATTCTCAGGGCTCAAACTTGTATCAACCCAACCAAAACCAAAAGTAAAGCAACTACGTTATTTTACAACTTCAATATCTATTCCCTCCCCAGCCCCCTTATAACAGCATGAATTTAAATCCTACACAATGCCCACATTACAAAATCAAATTTGCATACAACAACTGATAAAAAAAAATCTCATGCAACAAAATATGGAAGAAAAAAATCGCCAAAAAGAATGGAAAAGAAAAAAGAAACTAAAATCTAAAAGCTACAAAAAATACAATACCTCGCCACGCGATGCAAGTGCCAGAGAACTCCCTCCTTTTAGCTAAGCCAAAACAAAGCTTCTCGACCCGATCATCACCCAAATTACTGCCCCGCCACCAAAATTTCACCTTGTAGAAACTTTATTTTCTATCCCTGTATAAGAATGAAATGAATTATTCAAGGCAACCTCACATGCAAGCTTGCATCTTTCCCCAACACAACTACAATACTAGCACAGACAAAACAACCCAAAATGAAAATTCCAGTCCTTTAGAAGCTTGAGATCCTTCAAATGCAAACCCACCATTAGATATAGAAATACATACAAAATTCAAATTCAATTTTAAATTTTTTGATTGAAACAGTTAACAAAATGTGAATTAAAATGGATAAAATCAGCAAAAGTGGAAATGGAGAAGCGTACAGAGATCGGATCACAACTGCATTTTCAGAATCTAGGGCAAGAGAAACGTCATTTTCATACAACTAAACTATAAAATAGACGTAATAAATCGTTGATTACTATAAATCATAACCACAATCATAATCAATTATTTAAGATTAATTCAGGGTTAAAACTTTATACAGACATAAACAAAAAGTACCTCAAAACTTCAAGCTCAAATGAGGTGGTGTGAATGGAGAGAGAGAGAGAGACAGACAGACAGAAGGAAACGTAGGGATGAGAGAGAAAGTAGAGAGAGAGTGGAAATGAGAGTCTGAGTCTATTCGTTTCTCTTTCTCTTTGCCTCTCTGTGTGCGGTTTTTTTTTTTTTTTTTTTTATGAGAGAGACAGACAGACAGAAGGAAACTAGGGATTGAGAGAGAAAGTTAGAGAGGTGAGAGTGGAAAATGGAGGTCTGAGTCTATTTCGTTTCTCTTTCTCTTTGCCTCTCTGTGTGCGGTTTTTTTTTTTTTGGTTTTTTTTTTTTTTTTTTTGGTTAATCTGTCTTTTCTGTTATTGGGTTTTTTATTTTGGATTTTTTAAGGAAAAAAGTTAGGAGTAATTAGTTTTTAATTGTTTCGTTAGTGAGGCAGTGAAATTTTTTTAATTGGACGCGCGTTATACGGTGAGATAGCGGAGGATAATTGAACCAACAAATCGGATTTTCAGCAAAACTCGCCGGTCGCTGTCGTTGTATTCTTACGCGCACAATGCACTGCGAACCGTTACGCGTACACCAAACGCGCTGTTTTTATGATAATTCATTACGAGAAAATAATTGCGACAACTCTAATTTATTATCAATAGTTTATTATTAGTATTTCGCTAGAAAACACTTTAAAATTAATATTCCCAACTATATATGCATAAATAAATTAACTCAAGCATTAGTATATGTCAAATATAAATTTAAATAAATAAAGTGTTAATTAAGATTGTATCAATAATTATCTTATAGCATAAATCCAAATATTCTGGATCGAGCTATAATCGAAACATAACACCTGGAGCAATAAATACTTGAGTTTGATAAAAAAAATTAATGAAAATTGTAAATTAAGAATAAGATCTATGATTTATTAATAGAGTTACTAATGTAGATATGTCAATTGAGTTTTTAAATATAATTAATATATATTATCTGAAACAACTCGAATTTTTATTTTCAAAGATTTTCCAATTAAATTTAATAAACCGACAGCTTGGAAATTTATTTTAATATTTTAATGTGAACTATGTGAACTCTGTGGGAAACCAATCCAAAAATCGATTTTGAAAAACCCGTAAACCAATTTGCGAAAACCGAAAGATTTGGGCCGAACCGAACCTGAATCGAACCGTTGGACCCAAACCATCTAGAATTTTTCTTTTTTTCCCTCTATTTCTAGCACACACCTCACTTCCCCTCCCCCCGTTTTTTTTCTGCGCTTCTTGACCACCAGCGACACCACCTCCGACCACCACTCCTCCTCCACCTCTCTTTTCTTCTTCTTTCTTCTTTTCTTCTTCTTCCTTCTTCTTTTCTTTCCTTTCCTTTTTTTTCCTTTCTTTCTTTCTTCTTCCCGTACTTGTGTGCTGCGCCTGCAAGTTGGACAGACTCGACCACCGCACACTACTGCTGTTTAGCTCACTGCTGGCAAATCGCACCTTCACAGAGCAGCTCCACGTCGCGCCAGCAAGCCCAGATTCGCGACTGCTGCTCTCTGTCCGCGCCTACAGCAGCGCCACAGCCCTGTCAAGGCGCTACTGCCCACTGCCGCCGCTCCAGCGCGCCAGATCGGTCACCTCCGCCGACGCCACAGACCCTACTTGCTGCTCCAGCGCACCTCCGGCACTAGCCTCCACCTGCTCTTCATTCCGGCAGTAAGAATCTGGATCGCTCGGGTCCATCTAGTGCCTCCTGCCCGGATAGAATCAAAACTTAGAGCTTTCGCTCTCCAACCACAGTACTTAGGAAGCAGCTTATTCGATTGAAAGCTCTGCAATCTTCTTCTCCGCAGAGTTACAAATGTAAACTTTATATTCTTGATATTTAATTTTGAATGTATAAATTATTCTGTTATCAGATTTTTTTGGACTCCGCAATTATAGGGTTGTGTATTTAAATTGGGGTTTATTGTTAGCACTACGCTATAAATTAATTATTGTGTAATTAACTGTAGGTAAACTAGTAAGCCCTTATTGTGATTATTTGTTATTGTGAATAGGCCCTGGTTAAATTTTATGTATTATTTGATATTGGGTCAGATGTTTGAAAATTTTATAAAACTTATATCTTAAGTCATATGGGCTATTGGGCTACTTTTTGTTGAAATTAGGGAATCATGGTAGACGATTGAATTAATTTTTAGGCTTACTACGGGCCTCGGGGGCCTTAAGCTCTTACCTAGGCCCTAGTGCCGGTCCGGCCCCACTTGAATAATTTAGGCTTACTACGGGCCTCGGGGGCCTTAAGCTTACCTAGGCCCTAGTGCCGGTCCGGCCCACGGAAACGGGTCGTGACATTATCCCTTTTTAAAAAATAGACAAACATTATTATTATTTTTTTTTTTTTTTGTATTAGATGTGTATATTTGAGTTTAGATGGAGCAATTTGAAATTAGATAAGAAAAAATGGAGTTGGTCATTTAAAATTAATTAAGATAACTCGAGCAGTGAATTAGGATTGTGTTGAACCATGGATTAAAACAAGTTTGTCAAAAGCTTTCAAATTCAAAAGGATAAAACCAATATTTATAACCAATTGTCATTGCAGTTTGCTACAAAGATCACATATCTAATTATTTTCCGTTTCCATTTGCTCCAAGATATACGGGTGAAAATTTTAAATTAAGAAAATTTGAATCTCAGATTTATATATTTTCAATTCTCTTATGTGCACTTTATTATTGAGCTATCCCTTCACCTTATAAACTCCAATATTTTAAAACTGTCTTCGTAAGTATATGGAGTGAGTGCAAGTAATTTTTTAAAAATTTTCTCTTTGTTGTCTCCTTTCTGATCCAAACATGGAGCTCATACTTATATTGTAGAGACTCGAGATTTGCGTTATTATTTAAATTAATTTATATTTTGTATTTTTGTGTGAATAGATGTTAGTAAATAATTATGTAATGTTTTATTGTAGCAGATGTTTGTTGGATATGGACATGGATCATCAATTTTAGTTGTCGGTAGCAGCAACTGTCATGTGTGTACAGTACAAGAGATGGAAAGACAATAGCCAACTTTTGTAATGTGGTAAATACTAATTTAATAACAATTGAATTATATTTATCTTTGTATTATATTTACATGACTAGGACATCACTATATATGCCACGTTTCCACGTCTGTCAAATTTTAATTAATGTTGAAGAGTTGAATTTTACCTGGCCTTCAATCCCACATCGGTATATTAATACGGATTAATATGCATAAAATTTGATAACTTTGGTGTCTATGAATATTACAATTAGGATGCTTTTATCAAAATTATATAATTTCAATAAAATATTTACTTTATTTCTATTTCATGCATCTGTATTTTCAAAATAAAGATTTCAGTTGGAAATTTGAAATTGAGAAATTCAGAAGATGAAGTGTCATATTAGTGATTAAATCCAGAACCTTCACATCATAGATATATATATATATATATTTTTTAACCATCTAAGTGAAGGCTTCTTGGCAAAATATATGTATGTATATGCATTACATGACTGGGTTTGTTCGGTTTCTTAATTATTAACTGTTTGAGTAATTTTTTATGAAACGCTAAAAATTAAATGTTATATGAATTAAATTTTTATAAAACAAACTAACTTAACCTCTAAAAGCTTGTTATGTTATCAATACTATAAAAAATAGCATTTAGCGTTTTGAAAAGCTATTTAAAAATCTGTTGTCGAACATGGTCTTTTTTTTTTTTAAGTGACAACCAACAATCTGACAAACGAAATTAATTATCAATGAATTATTAATTTTTGAGACTCGAGCTAGAAATTATTAAGCTAATATCATTTGAATTTTATCAAAAATAATTGACTAAAAGAGACTTCAAATTCTTTATATTGTAGGTTCATATTTTGACTATGTTGGTTGGCAAAAAAGCATGTGCTCATGAGGTGGTCAAGTTCATGTAAAGGTTCTTTAAACTTTTAGTCTTTTAGACATCCTTTGAGGTTTAAGCTTCTTCCTTTGTTTCTTTTAGACTTTTAGACTAATTTTTTATTTTTAGGAAATGAAATTAAAGTAGGAGAATAATTCCATCAGAGCATCAATCAAAAAAATCAGCGGGCCCTGCATGACTGCATCCATGCATAGCATTGTATGGAATAATCAGTGCTTTTTATGAATGTGCATAAATAAAATAATTAAAATATTAAAAGGTTCTCTTTTTTTCTGAGTTTCTTTTTTTTATAAATATTTTTTTATATACAAAATCAACTATTATTATAAGAGGTAGAAAAGATTTTTTATTTAAATACAATAATAAAATATTTAAAAAGGATATTATTTTTTATTTAAATATAAAAAAAATCTATGTAAAATAAGAGGCATGTTAGAGAGAGGGACTCGAAGCATAACAACAAAAAAATAAAATTAAAAAGCGATAAATCACTGATTTGTAGTTTCATAAAACACGTGTTTTATTTTTTAAACTGTTTTGAAAAAAGTTAAAAAGCAAAATTTAAACACTTTTACAACAAATATGTTTCATTTTTCTTTTACTAAAATTAAACGGAAAACCAAAAATCACAATAATAATAAACGCCACCTTAATTAACTTTGCATTGAGATTAAAAGAGATGAAAGGAAATGCATGCTAAAACATAGTCTCGTGGCAAATGCATATATAATCTAACAGTAAATTTAGGTTGAAATCTCATTTTTTCAATATTTAAGAAAAAAAAAGAGATGAAATAAAATATTTAGTTTTAATATGATTTAAAATAAAATTTGATCATTAAAATTGCATCTATTAAACACTCTTACTTGATTCATTGAATACTTCAACCTATAGAATTAAATCAATTAGATAGTTATTGAATAGTTAAAAGATACGAAAATTATTATTTTGAATATTATATTAACCCATACATATTAAATCAATATGTATTATTTTACATGTAAATGGCAGAAATTTAAAAATTTTTATTATTAGTATGGATAAACATGCAATGTTATATATGAAAATTTTTAACTTCAAAAACAAGATAACTTTCAATAGATTATTTAATTTGTCACGGCACTTTTTTGTAAAAAATATAAGGGTTATTTTATATATTTGATAAAAAAATCAATGAGTGCCAATTGAATTATTAATAAGACACAACAGCAGACATTCCATCGGTTTGATTAACCGTTTATCGAATTTGTATTTATCGATCAAGTATTTATCTTTTACCAAGTAATTTATATATTTACCGAATTAAAAGTTTACCATTTTATCAATAGAGTTAATCATTTACCGACTTGTTTATTGAATCGATTAATTAACTATCTAAGGGGTTAAATTCTTAAAAAAGAAATAAATAAAACAACATTGTTTTAAATAAATCGATCAGTGATTCTGGTTTTTTTGGATACTTTACCAAAAATAATTTTACTATAGAACCGTTTTTACCGAAGAATCTTGCTTCCCGGCAGTAAATCAATATTTACCGTATTTTATCCACCTGTCATAAGACAGAAGTACGCAAAGGCAAAGATCTGGGACCTAAAGATCTCAGATTGAAAATCACGTGTTAAAGGATAATTTCTATCCACTTGAGTGCAGTTTGTTTATTTATTTATTTTGTTAATACATATGTATATTGTATATTAATTGCTTTGGAATGTGGGTTCCATCCGAAAGATATTTGTTACATCTAATTAAATGGTAGGGTCCCACATTCTATAAGCTTTCAAAGAGCACAAACACATGCAATTGATTTGCTTTATTTATATATATGGATGAAAATCAAATAAATATAAAAGAAAAGTGTTTAGAAGATCTTTGGTGATTATAATATAGTATATGTATTATCATTAATCAAATGAATATTCTTTATATTGTTCGAGATTCGAATCTCTTTATCGTAAAAGCGAAATTTAGAGTTCTGTAAATATTTTGTGTAAATATTAAGTATATCGATACATAGCTTGGTAGGTTGATCCTGTCGAGGAAGTAAATAGTGATACCAAACTTCAATAATTTATTTATGTGTAGTGATAAGTAGGATTAGAGTTAGGTAGTGTCAAGTAAGATCATTAAATATTTGACAGTCACTGTTGATTCAGAAATTACTTTTCAATTGTGTATTTTTTTTTTTCTCCTCTATTTTTCTATTTTTTTTCTCTCTTTTAAATCCCTTGATTGCAATTAATTTAAATAAACTGCGTCATTTCTTATTAATTCTTAATGGATGGAACAATCGCCACTGGACAGCTCAAAAGCGAATCAGTACAAAACCACGTGATTCGTATTCACTTATGTACCACGCGTGCTTCGTCGTATACTTCCTAGTCCTATTTCACTGGCTTATTTATACCCTGTTACATGATAGCACTCCTCTCGGTCAATCGTCACTCGACACCTCAATCATTGATTGACTTGATTGATTTGATGAGTCGCTTGCTCTTTCCAAGTAAAAGTAACATATTAGCATATGATAAATGTTTATTATCACAAAGCTGACTGCATTAGTGCCATGTAGGACTATATAATTTTGGTAATATCATATAAGAATTTAAAATTTTAATTGTTCCACATAAGTTTCGAAGAATTTCATATAATTGTTTATTTATTGAATTGAATTATGTTAATAAAATTGATTAATTATAATATTAGAGAACTAATAACACATTAAGTGACAATCTATATAGAACTTTTGATGATATGAATAAATTACATAATCTATGGATTTTAATACTGTGAGTGGTTACCTTTTTATTAACTTTGAAATAAATTAAATTTAATTTATGATGATTTATTTAGTGAACTAAACTGTGTTAAATGTAATTGATTAATTATAACATTAGAGGATCAATAATATGTTAAATAGAAATTTATATAGCTTTTGATATAAATTATTTAAATTTATGAATTTTAATGATATTGAGAATTATTTTTTATATGAGAGTAAGTTGTTTGGATAAAATAGAAAGTATATAGAAAATGAATGGGTATGTTGAATTTAATTTGGATGCACATGGATATTTGAAGAGGATGCTTTTATAACATGAAATGATCTGGCAAGCTAGCTAGGGTTTTCATAATTGATATATACTGTATCCTGACAATGATCAATGAAGCCACAAATGTTTCTTGGATCTCTGAAATATCTCCCTAATTTGGAATTATTTTTGAGGTCATCTTCAATAAAAACAAATGCCTTAAAATAGAATTATAAATATTTTAATTTTTTGGGGTCATCTTCAAATTATTCATTTCTTTAAAAATTAAATTTCAATCTACAAGAAAGACTTACTTATATAAACATGTACGCTAAACTAATTATAACCGGTATTTTAATTTAAATAAAAGTATTTTCGAATATATATTTAGAAAAATAATAAAACAATAATATTTTTTTAATTGGCATGTTACATAGAATCTCCCCTTTCTTTTCTCTTTTTGAGCGATTAGCGGGTGGCTAACCCTCTTTCTATTTTTTTTTTTTTCATTTTTTCCTTGTTATTTGAAAAAACCCTCCATTCCCAAACCTGTTTATTTTTTTATTGTAATTTCTGTATTATTATATGTGTATGTTTTTAAATAATTATCAGATTTATTATTAGTTTTTGAGATTTTGTTCTCTTAAAAGATCATTTTGACTCATTTTATAAAGATGATTCTTTTTATTTTGGAGATTTTTTATCATTTTGTTTGTTGGGTAATGATGCAGTACGAGGTACAAATACTTTCTCCAGCAACAAATCCGTAAAAAATAAAAAAGCCGAACATTGATTATAGATTGCCATCGTGTCCAGTGCAATGAAGTGAACCAATAATGTATTCTGTCGACTCTATCATATTATTTTTTTTAAATGGTTGATTTTATTTATGTAAAAATATAATATTTTGATTCACTAATAGCTTTTAAATTAGCTTTTTTAACATTTTCATCGAGTTAAAAGTGAATTTTTATTAATTTTAACATTCAGTGACATGATCTTTATAATAGCTTTTAGAGATTGAGAGAGTTTTTTTTAAAACGTTAAACACTCTGACATTTAGCTTTTAAGTTCTATGTTTAGATGTTAATTAAATTTTAAACAACTAATTAAATAACTATTTTTACCGAAGACATCTAATTTAAATAACTATATATTAAAAGTTAAAAGTTTATAATTAATAACTAACGGCTATTATAATAATTAATAATTACTAAAACAGTTAATATTGCAGAAAAAAATCATAAATTAATAATTGATTGCCACTTAAAAAATCTGTTAATTATTTATTATATTTTTCCCATTATTTTCTAGTGAAAAAAATATAAATACCCCCATTGATTATATGCACATTTATTAAATTGGTTTCGTGTATGGGCGAGCCAATACATCAAATGTAGATAAGTGTTTTAAAATAATAATAATAATAATACCTTTCTAAAAAATAACAATAATATAAAATAATCATTCACAGTAGACTGGTAAACTGCTTGTTTGCAATATTATTTGCTAATTATATCTGTAACATATTTCTGTGTATTAATCCCAGTGCTTCCAAATTTGGTGTGGAGCACGTAGGATTCCGATGGAAGGTGCATTTTACATACACTACAAAATGATTTAATACAAAAGAAATACTGGCACATTAAAATATAATTTAGTGGTAAGTGCATATATGGCTTAACAATAAATTTAAATTTGAATCTATTCTGCCGATGCTCAAAAATAATATAAAAAGAAGAGAGCCACCCCCTTCATGCATTTCTGCCATTGATGCTATCATCATGCACCATATAGTAATTATTTAAACTATTCCACAAAATGGGATTATTGGACAATTGACATTCATATCAATGGGCCTACTTCACCAACTTGGTCACAATCCCATGGGACAAACATATATCCTTCTCTATCATCATATCATCCCCTTTCTTATTCCAATCTTCTCATTTAATGGACTGGATTGTCAATAATACCATTACAAACCTCCATTTTGTCCACTACAAACTTGGGCTAAGCCCGCTTTCCAAACAATCATTTTTGTGTTGGACCTAAACCAAACCATAAACCTGTGCCCTTATTCTTTATCTCATCAACATCTCGCCCCCACATGTGGTACATTTTTTTAATTAATTTTTATTCGGTGATATTACGTTTGAACTAACTGATTTTTAAAATTTAGCGTTTTATAAAAAATTAATTCTGTTTAATTGTTATAACATTTTATAAAAAATTATTTAAATAACCAATGGCTAATATTTTCAAAACTGCTAACTGAAACAAATAAATTTAATGAATAAACCTTTCTACTTCAATTATTATAGCAATTACTTAATTATTTATTTATAGACAAAATTGACATAAAAATGTAACTCATACATAAAATTCACCTAATAATACATTCACTGTAACTGATTTCCTGTAAATAATAATAAATAGGAACACATTAAATCATTTATAATTTAATTATACAAAAAATTAACCGGAAAGGTATGCCTCATCGCTATAAAAAATAACAAATCACCCAATAATGATTGAAGATAATAAAAGTTGAGAAGGTAAAGGCCGCAAATTGGATGAATATTTTGGAGTAAATACTACCTTAAACAAAAGTACAATAATTCATAAACCCCAGAATAGCGTTCTGTAAGACTGTCTAATTATATACAGAGGAAAGATGTTTTTTTTTTTTTTTTTTTAACCGTCAATTTTGGGATCGCCACTGCAAAATAAATTCTTATCTACGCTCTCGCACAGGTACACTCATAGACTTTCAGTCTCGTGTTACCGTCCGATCGCACTAACGTTCTTCCACTTTTTACTCTCCACGTGGTCAACGATTGCTGCTCAGAACGGCTTCTGTAGGTACATGAACATGTCCTGAAGCGGCGACACCTGACTGTTTCCTTGAAACTGCGATTGAAAGACATTGTCCATGGTGGCATCCATGTAATTATACGGAAAATCATAGGTATTTATACTCCCCCAATCTTTCCACTTCGGCTCACTTTGCACCTCGCTTGTGAACTCCGGCGACACCACGTGCTCCGAGCAACTCGAGTCCGTATTCAACTTCGGCACCGAATCCGACGGCTCGAAGTAAACGTAATCATTTCCAGTTCCAGTCGCCGATGACGGAGCAGGAGGCGGCGCCATAATCTCCGGCTTTTTATCCTCTATTATTTCCTGCGAGTTCAATTTCCGACTTGTTACTTGTCCTTGCTTCTCAATTGTACCTTTCTTGTTGTATATGCGACACAGCACCCAATCATCTAGCTGTTTAACCAAATCAGAACCGTTAAATTAGTCAACGAACCATAGCGTGCACCTTTATCAGACGGTTGAATAACCTTATCAAATACTGTTAGAATGAATAAAAGAGATAAGAATGAATATAGATTTTCCCCAATTAGAAAGTAACAATTTGCTTTCCGGGATAAGCATTGATACTATAAGGTCTTCCCACGAATAAATAATTCGTGTTTAATATTGTTTTACTATTTAGATGGGCCCCAATCAATCACCTATCGTTAATCACCACCACTTGATTTAACGCATCATGCGAAGGTTCATTATTTTCGTCCTCCCATTGATGTTGATGAATAATTGACGGTCCAAATTCCGTGAGAGGCCAAAAATGTAATTTGGCATCCACATATTCATTTGGAATTATTGTTCATGCAATGGAATGTCGAATCTACCCCTATTTTTCCAAGTTAATATGTTTCGGGATGGCAATTATACCCTTAAGCTGTTCTTCTTCCGAGCGGAGCGATCCACATCGGCTAGCCGATATTCGTGCATAATCCAGTTTGTTTTTTCTCCTTTAGGAGCTTTGCCTGCGTAAAAAACCAAAGCTTTCTTGATTCCAACGGGCTTCGGTTGCCCAATCGGCTTATCGGCTCCGGTAGCCTTCCAATAGCCAGTTCCGGCAGCCCGATTAGGCCTCGATCCGTTGGGATATTTACGGTCCCGCGGTGAAAAGAAATACCACTCCTTTTCCCCATACAAGGCCATTCCTGTGAATACAGCCAGTAATTAATTAAAAAATTGCTATAAAATGTCAAAATTAATAAATCGCAAAAAGTACACGTTTCAATTTGATCTGAAAAAAAAAAAAAAGGGAAAATAAAAAAAAATTACCTGGAAGCTCCCATGGGTCGAACTTGTAGAGATCGATTTCGGCGATTATCGGAACAGCGATTGTCTGAGATGCGCATTTACGGCAGAGATAGTGCATCACAAGCTCCTCATCGGTTGGATGAAACCTGAATCCTGGTGGTAGCTCTAACGCCGCCGCTGCTGCCATTTTTACTTTTCTACCCTTCTTGCCTGCTTTTCCTTATTAAATATCCTCTCTCTCTCTCTCTCTCTCTCTCGCTGGCTTTGACTCGCTGGTTCTCTTGCGCTTTCTCTCTTCGTGATGCAAATGCAAAGACAGCGCTTGAAACTTAGAACGCAAGGGAAAGTCACGAATTTATAGAGGAAAAGGGTAGGACATAAGGCAGGCGTGATTTCTAGAATACACGTGGGCGATAACGTTTTTTCCTTTTTCGTGGTTTTATTTTTTTTTTACATGACAGCAGCCGGGACACGTGGCGGATTCTCAAGTGGGGGTGCGTGCGTGTCGATAGCCCACATGGAGATGATTTTGTCACTGCTTACGACATTTATTTTGGACTGTGGCGTTGGAGACTCTGTACACAGAGAATGACCACTAGCCATTCGGTTCGAGCGTAAATTTTTGAAAAAATAATTAAAAAATCGAATATACCGACTTAGGGATCCGTGTGGGGTCGGCGAGGTTTGTTCCTCGCGTTTTTATTTTGTTTTTTTGGTTTTGAGCCGACAGTTAAACGGTGGATGAGGTGTACACGTCAGATGAGGGAGATAGCCACGTGCGCTAGTGAGCTTGTCTGATTGCGTTATTTGGCGAGAGCAGGGACTGACCTAGGGCTGATCCAGTGCATTTGGTTAGCTGCAAAACTAATAGTAAATCACATGATTATATTATATAATCCTTATCTTGCTTAAAAGGGCAAGGATAATTAAGGTTGGGAATTATAATTAATTAGCAATTTTTTTTTTTAATTTCTAATTAATTGTCTTCTTAATTTTTGAAATTCATTAAAAAGCTGCTTAATTCAATGTATTAGGTATAAAAGTTAAATATATATGTTGAAGCGATATTGAAAGGAGGATGAACAATTATGTCTTCTTATTGTATAAGAAAAAAGAAAAATCTAAAGGCCCATATCGAACTTTTTTTTCTTTCTTTTTTAAGTGAAAGGAAAATATTGGATTCTTATTTAAGATCTAAAACTTTTTTTTCAATTTTTAAATAAAAAATTAATTTAATTTTACATTTCGTGATTGTTTCTCTCTCGTAAATTAAAAATACCGTTACCATTTGATCCTTCAACTCAATTTAGATTAAAATAGAAAAAAGAAAAAAAAATGTAAAATGAATCCATACTGATATAGCAACAAAATATGCTCACTAGATATTGAATTAATCTTGATTATTTTTTTAAGGTAAGAAAATGGGTTTTATTCAATTAAAAATTTTATGATACAAAAAGTTATATATACATTTTTATATTATATAGTTTGACTTACGCATGGCCGGTTCAGTAAACCGCTGGTTCCGGTTCACTGAACTGCCGGTTCGAGATGTTTAAAATTTTGAATCGAAATCGACCCTTAAACCTTCGGTTTCGTTCCGGTTCCGGTTCCGGCACGATTCGTTCGGCGGCACGAGTTCCCTGATTCGTGTGCCAGCATTACTACAAATTTTTTTAGAAAATTAATAAAATTTTGATTCCGAATTCATAAATAAAATAATAATTTTTAAATGATTTTAAATTTTATTAACTAAATAAATTATTGATAAAATTTGAAATATAAAACTTCTATTAATTATCTGTAGAACTATTATTACATTAATATTTACAAATTTTAGCTAATTCACTAATATTAGGAAAACTATAAATGGAATACAAATTAAATTGAAAATGAGTTTGGAAATTATTATTTTCAGAATACTAGAAAAAAATTTATTAAAAAAATCAAATGAAGTTAAATTTTATGAATGGAGAAAATTGAAGATTAGAGAAAGAATTTGGCAATTGGATGTATGAAGTATACAAAATTAAACAATCAGATAATTTCAATATTAAGGGGAAAAATAAAGCAAATAGTAAAAAAATAATGACTATGGAAAATTTTGAGAGAATTTTTGAATTGAGGAATTAAAAAATCAAACTCAACATAATTGGTTGTGATATATTGGGTTGATAAAATAAAAAAATCAATCAACTCAACATATTTGTATATGTTATCTCATTTATTTATTTTCGGCCAAATTGTCCCTTAATAACAGAAAAATAATAACTATAGTTTTTGTGGATGAATTTAAGTAAATTACGAGTAAATAAAATGATAAAATGGATTAAAAAATGAATGAATTTGTTTACCAAAAAAATAAATAAAAAAAACACTATTCAATATCAAAAACTTATCTGTGTGAACACTATTTTTTTATATCACATTGAAAGTATTTGTTTTTTTTATATAAATCAACGTAATTGCATGTAGCAATTTTTTGTAATAAATTAATGTAAAAAAATGTGTATTTTTTATTTTTACCAACTTTTTATAACTTTATGTATCATTGTACGTTCTTTTCAAACAATTAAGTAAAAAAAATGTGTATTTTTTTTACCACTTTTTATAACTTATGTACCATTGTACTTCTTTTCACCATAAATCAAATCAACTATAATCAAATTAAGTGATATAAATTTTTTTATAAAAATTTTAATCTACAATTTTTTTGTGCATCGGGTTCGAACCGGACCGAAACCACCAGTTAACCGCCGATTTCGGTTCATATTTTAATATTTACATGAACCTTAACCAACTCTTGAATCACCGATTTCGGTTCAAAATTATGAACCGTCATTCCGATCTGATTTTAGTTCATCTATAGTACGGTTCCATTCCGGTTCGGTTCTAACCAGAACCGAACAGGTGGCATGACTAGGTTGACTGCTAAGAGGCTGCGCCTCCGAATTCTATTTAAAAAATTATATTTATGAATTACTAAATAAAATAAATTATATCCACTCCTCATATTTTAAGGGGGGACATATATATGGAAAAACAAATTCATAACAATGAAATAAAATTACTGCAGGGTGATCGTAAGTTAACAATAATTAAACTACACCAAAACTTTCTAGTTCCAGGTCCCTTCGAATGAAATATTAAAAAAAAAAAGAACACTCACACCAACTTTTTTGGTAGGTGGTTTGGAGTATTGACGTGTCCATGGTCTACGTGGATAAGGATAAAAGAACGAAGTTACTAGGCAAGCGCCGAAACGGCCAAATCACACTATTTCCACGCTCGCTTTTCCTCAATTTTTTGTCTTTTAGCAAGAAAATTGCGGGACATGAATAAAAAAATAATTAAAAGGTGTGAACTTATAAGTTACTAACGTGGACATATCCATTCCACTTTCGGTGGCAGACTGGCTGTTACTTGGATTACTATGGTGCTACTGCTTTAACTCAAAGATTCTAAACCAGTTAAATTGCACCACGACATAGGCTTGGGACCCAGAGAGCTAACTTCCATGCCGAAGGAGGTCGTCTCCACGTCACACATGTTTGTTGACACGTGGATATACGAGAGCGACAGGTAGTGACCTATACCGGTCGCAATGAGTGACCTAATCAAGTCTTTATGTGACAAAAATACCCTGGAAATCTTGAGGTGGCAGTTCGAGATTGGTTAGGGAAGCGCGGGTGAACAGTAGTATTATGACCGCTTTGGTCAATTCAAAAAAAGAAATGCGCCCAAATTTGTGGACCCATGTGTCGATCAACGGCACAAATTTTGAATGGCGAGTGTTGGTCTTACTTTTATGATAAATGTCAATGCTTAGACGGTTAGGATCTGTTAATGATTGAATAATTGGCTTGATTTTATAATTTCAGCTGGACGTGAGTATCAACGTCTCTAATTATCTATCTACCTCTGTATATGTACTCATAGATATACAAGTACGTTTTCTCTAAATAGCGTCACATAAGATTTTAAGTGGTGATATGTAAAAATTTTAAAATTGATCTTACACTAAATTTATTTAATTTTATTATGAAATGTCACGGGTCAAAGTCCTTTTGTCTCTACTCTCGTGGGCAATATTTCAAATTTATTATTAATGTTACAATAACAGTTAATTATAATTAGTTAATGAATTAATAGGTTGTTACTTTTCAATTATTAGTGTTCTGAATTATGCATTTCATTGTGAATAATGGCAACATTATTTAAAATCACCAGTATAATTTATTTTAATAAAATTTGAATTTTAAATGAAGTACAAGTGCTTGAAAAAAAATATATGTTATAATTAATTATGTATAAATCAATTATATAAGCATTAGAAAATGATTTTATACCTTAAAATATTTTTTTATTAAAATATCATATAATATGTATTTTAATTTAATATATTATAATATATTATTAAAAAAATACATGATATTTTTTATACATTAAAATATAATATGTATATACGAATTAAAAACAGGAAATACTACTATATAAAAATCATGATACTTTTATAAATACTTGTTAAATAGTATATAATCATGTTTTCATGTAACCATCCATTTTAATATCCTTAATTTCACAACTCATGGAAAGTTTCAAAGGACCAATCCACCCTTTGTTAATAATATGAATAAAAGACTCAAATATTATATAAGTTAATATTTTTTTTATTAATTAAATAGAAAACCTAGTGTATACGCTCACAATTTTTTTCAATATTTTTATTTTTTCATTATATGATTAAACAATAATAATTCAACCATTTACATATTTAATTTGTTTTCACACGCAAATTCACATTTTTTGCCGTTGAACTTATAATTTGATAATTAAAATAATATTTATCTTGTGATAGAAGGATGAAAATTCCTTAGTGGAAGAATAATTGCTTTTTGATTGGTGAGAATCGCATAATAAAAATGCTTATAATTGCAGAGATGCCAGAAAATGCGAGTCCTTGTCTGGTATTGTGAGAGTAGAAGTTCTCTGTGTGCATTAGCCACTACTGAAAACTTACAAATAGCTTATATATATAAATTCCTTTAGTGGATAGAAAATTGCTTTTTGAATTGTGAGAATCGGCATAATAAAAATGCTTAATAATGCAGAGATGCCAGAAAATGCGAGTCCTTGTCTGGTATTGTGAGAGTAGAATTCTCTGTGTGATTACGCCATACTGAAACTTTACAAAAGCTTATATAGTATATATATATATATTAGTATATATATATAGTGAAGAAGAAGAAAGCTCAGAAGAACTGCACTACTCGCATCATGTGAAATAGAACAATGCCGATGTAGGAGCTAATAGTTAGGGAAAGAAACCGT